GTCTCTCTATGAATTATTAGAGAGAAACGACAAATTTCCAGGCTACTTTCCTTCTAAAAAAGTCCATCCAGTTAAATTAGAGTATGCTGCTAGATGGTGGACCCATCCTTTAAAATCTAAAGCAACTAAAACGGATAATCATGATATAGGTTTTATGATAGAACCTTCTTTTAATAAAGAGCTAGAACACAGTGGTGATAAAGAAGCGAGAGATGTACTTATTACTGCAGCAAATTCGCTCGCTACAAGGTTCGATGCGAAAGTAGGTTGTATTAGAAGTTGGGATCACTTTTTTGAAACCAGACCATCTTCATTTGAAAAAGATTTAATTGTTATTATTGATAATATGTGTAATTTAAATTTATTATACACGGGGGCTCAATTGAATGGCGACTTGCGCTTATCTACAATTGCCACTACCCATGCAGAAACTACTATGAAAAATCACTTTAGAGATGACTGGTCGTCTTATCATGTCGTTGTATATGACAGAAAAACAGGAAAGGCGGCAAAGAAACACACTGCGCAAGGTTATTCTGATGAATCATCTTGGACAAGAGGTCAAGCATGGGGAATATTAGGTTACACAGAAACATATTATTTTACCAAAAGTCAAAAGTTTTTAGACACTGCAAAAAGAATTGTCAAGTATTATTTGTCACACTTGCCAGAAGATGGTGTTCCACCTTGGGATTTCCATGCTCCAGATAAAAATATTCGTGATGTGTCATCAGGTATGGTAGCCGCCTTTGGTATGCTTAAGATTTATGAATATACTAAAGAAGAAGAATATTTGAACAATGCATTGAAACTCGTTAATGATTGTACTAAACTTTGTTTCAATAAGCAATCAAAGTTAAACGATGACGGTACTGTTGATCTTGGTGATACAGACACTATTTTGAATGGATCAACGTTTAATAATAACCCTAATGCTCCTGAAGAATATAAAATATTTGATCATGGCTTAGTTTATACTGATTATTACTTTTTGATGATAGGCAATAAATTATTAGAGTTGGGCCTTTACAAATAGTTTTATTAGTCATGTTTGTAATATTCAGTGTAATCTAACAAAAAAATGAACATGCCTCCAATAGTTGATAAATGCAATCATTTATCATGGCATTTCTATATAGAGAACGCCATTCCTAAATTATTTTTTCTTAATAAATCAATATGTAATGCCTAAAAATTATAGAAAGTTTTCGTCTCAAATAATTTTTTTTGTATTATTCTCTTTAAAAGTCTAGGATTGCAAATTATTAAAGCATCTTCTGCTTTAAAATTTTACATACAAATTATTTTTGAAAATGGTAAAGACACGTAAGTATTAAGATATTTGTATTTCCGAAATCCTTGTGACTTTAATTCTTTCATATATGATTATATGGCAAATAAGTTACCCTTAATATGCAAAATCATGCGAATTTGGACTGCGAATTATGCGTGTCCCTTTTTATAAATTATCCATCTAGAAATGATAAAAACAGAGAATTTAAATAATCTTTTCTACATTCAAGATCACAGTAGCCATTGATTTATTCTAACTATCGAAATGTCTAAACTCCTATAAGAGATGATAACGAGCCATTAACCAGATATACCCCTGCCCTCTTACTTTTAATTCACTATGTTGGCACTAGCAGCAATTGTATAATCGCAAACCTAATGTGCTACTTAATGCTATTTAAAGGCCTCAATCCAAGAATATGAACCACCGCCGTGGCCAATCCATCGAAAATAAATACAATTCCTGCCATCAACCCCGAAGCTCCAGCTAAATTAAGTTTTGCAAACATGTCAGTGAAATAAAATGGACCAATGAAACCGAAGCTCATCCTTATGACACTTAGAAATAAACCAGTATCGGCAGCCTTTTCTGGATTAGTATCAATAGCATATACAATTAAAACTGTAGTAACAATATTATTGCCCGCAGCAGCAATTGCAGCACCAATTAATGGTGTGATTACCCAGTGTCCTTTTTCTGCTTTAAATAAATAAACACCCCAGATAACTAATCCGACAATAACACATAAGAAGCCATAGTAAGAAATCCATAACCTATCTGCAATAATTCTTTTATTCCCTCTTTTTTTAAAACAGAACTTCATCCATCTATCTGAGAGGGGACCTGCAAGTAGCTCTCCAATGATAGATCCAACAATAAGAGAAATGTATTGTAAGCTAAGTTGTTGTGCGTCAAGTAAAAATAATGGACCAAAAACTTGTGGTGTTTCTACTATAAGAACGATGTTTGCATAGCTAAATGTTACAGTAGCAGCTATGGTTACCAACATAACTCTATAATCCAATGCTTGTTTGAAGGGACTCCAAAAGAAACTCCACTTAAATTCAATTTCAGTTGCTTTATAAAGTCCCAGCCACTTCCTGAAGGTATTAATTTTCAACTCCGTTGAACTTTTGTTTCGGGTATACACAGTTTCTCTTGAAAAAATGTAAGCAATAAATTGTACAAAATTTATTATTGCAAATGTGTAGTAGATCCATCTTGTTCCTACATGTTTTTGTACGAAACCCATAAAAAACGGTCCTCCTGGAGTACCAAGGATATAACCTAAAGACCACCACCCATTTTTTTTACCTCTTTCATGGCTAAAAGAAGTGTCCGCTACTATACATGATCCGGCTGCTGCTCCTGTTGACAAAACACTGGAAACCAAAACCCTAGTAGCCATTTGCTGTGAATATGTTTCACAAAATCCTCCCCCAATATTCAACGCACAGCAAGCCAAACTTGAAAAAATTAAAAAAGGTCTCCGTCCGTATATGTTCATTAATGGAACAAATAAAAGTGGTAGAACTCCCATACACAAAATTTGAACTGACGTAAAGTAGGAAATTTCTGTCATTGATCTTCCATATTGTATTGACATTGCTTCATAAGCAGGTGCAAGACCAGCTGCCATGAATGTAACTATAAAACAATGAAATGCTATTAAAATTATTTCATAGTTCTTTTTCCACTCGTGCCAATTTAGAGGATCCAAAGGATCATTTGATGGAAGTGGATCTAATTGTACAGATCCATGTCTTTTCATAAGAAATTCATAATGATCCGTAGTGAGTTTTGCGGGAGCAATGTCCTCATTAGAAACTGAATGCTCATCATGAACATATTCTAATTTTTCAATATCTCTAGGTACATTAATTTTATTATCTTTATTATCATTTAGTATTCCAAATTCTTCGACCTGAGAATTCATTTTGCAATTAATAAAGATGCAGTTTTATTATTTCTCAGATATGTCATGTATTATATACGTATTAATGTTCCTCTCTCAGGAGAAGAGTAACCGTGTGCGGTTTATCCAAACGATTAAACTTCTGCGATGTGAGGAGAGTAAAGCATTTCATAGAGAGTTTTGTTAGATTTTCAAAAAATATTGCAAAATTCAACGGGAATTTGAGGGGAAATTGCTACCACAAAAAATATAGCTGGCCCCGGATATACTATATTCATAGTCATAATTTTTAAGTAGAATACAAAATGTATTTCCGACATAGAACCAGTACATATCCGTAGTTAAAAAACTGGAAAAAGTGATGAGGGGAAATAATTGCTTGAGTCTTTTAAACAACCATACTAAATAATCAAGAATGATGGCATACAATTTTATTCACAGAATACTTTAAAATCTATAATATGGCATGCAGTCGGATCTAGAGCAATATTTTCAACGAATCCTATGAATCGACTTAAGAGATGCGGCTCGAATTTTACATGCATGTTCGCTCGAACTTTTTTATAATTTACTGCAACACATCTCACCTTCAAGCTTGAATATATACGTTTATACTTCACACAGTCCATCAAAGATAATTGAATATAGTTCCTTTATAACTTTCCTATTTAAAAGGAAGCGGCCTTTAGTTGTTTTGCAATGTTTGATATTGGCAGGATATTTTTCAAATAGATACACTTACAATTCCACAGTACGCATTACATAATAGAATCACAGGTACATTATATTGATTTGGCTATAGTATATTCGTATAATTCTTGTGAGCGCATGCTGATTTATCAGCGTCGGTTTTAGAGGAAGTGCGATTACTTGATTGTAAAATATTACAAATCCGAAGCTCAGCAATTTCCGCATTTAAGTAGAGCATCTCCAAATCGAACATATTGGACCAATAATGGGAAACATTTAATGCTTTAGCTTTGATAGCATTATCTATGGAGAATGGTAGGTTTCTTTAAACCTGCCACTACTATCTTTCTAAATTCATCTTCCATCAATATATTAATGTACAAACAAGATGCGGCATGAAGAAATAGTCCCTCGTAAAACCGATGCATTACATTTGGGCGCTAGTCTCTCTAGGAAGGATCTTGTTTATGGTCATCATTTCGGACTTTAATAAAAAAGATACAAGAAGACTCTGGTATTATTTTTTTTTTTCAGTGCTATTCTGGATTCTGTGTACACTTCAGTCCCATTTTAATGTATTAGTTAGATCATCAATGGTGATAAAATTATTGTCTACATCGTTTATTTTGAATGAATATTTATTTGGTTTTATCCTGATTCAACATACTATTTTGCGCCAAAATTATTATATATATATATGGACAGATATATGCGAACAAAAGTTCAAGATTTCCTTTTTGAAATGCTTGGAAGATTGCATGAAGGTCCTTTTTGTGAGGGTTGAAGCAAAATTAAGGATATGCATCGCATTCCAAAGACAATATTGAAATTTCTTGTAAATGATTGCGTGTAGTATTTTTATACTCTGAATTATTTCTAATTTTATGCATCTATAGCAAATTCTTCAGTAAGCTTCTTTCACCGTTCCTTTTTATTTTTTTTTTTGCGGATGTTCTCGCATCCACTTTTTCGAATTTTTTTATTGGTTACATTTATTTTACATTTTTAAATTTTTTGGTCCAATTTAAGTATCTCAATATTTTCAAGAATTCCAATTAACTAAAATTTTAGATTCTTTCAATTAGCTACCAAATTCAAACCCTAATCCTCTAAGCAAACATCTGAAAACTCATCCTTCTCACTGTTACCTTTACCACCTGCAAAGTTATCTCTACAAGAGGACCCTTTCAAAGGAACCCACCAATAAAATATCGTCCAAATAAGAAAAACAAAAATAACAACACTAACATAATTCATGTTACCACCAGTAACCGGCATGTAAGACGGAAATGAATAAAATACAAGTGCAAAAAGTGTCCATAAACAGGTGACAATATTAGAAACAAAACCTATTTTACCCATCCAAAAAGGACCATGCTTGATTTTATCACGTCCTCTATACAATAAACACAAAGTTGGAACTGCATAACTTAGATACATGAAAATAATGCTACCTGTTACCATAGAATTAAATGCAGCATCCGAAGCCATATATAAGCAGCCTAGAACAGCAACCCAAAGGCAGGAAAATAGATGAGCATTTAATGGAACACCTGTCATAGGATGAATCAATGATAAATATTTCGAAAATGGAAAACCATTATCTCTGCTAAAAGACCAACATAATCTTGCTTGCCATGTATGACAAGAAATCATACAAAAAATAGCAGTAAGAAACACTAAAAATCCTAGACAAATTGTACCGGCTCTGTTATTCAATGCCTGATAGTAAATGTCAAAGAGAGGATAGCCCGTAGTTGAATTCAAAATGTCGCTAAAATTTTGAATTGAAAAAAACATTGCAATACAGTAACAAAATGAAGTAACAAATCCGATCGCAACGGTACCCAAAATTGCAATTGGAATGTCTCTCGCTGGATTATAGACCTCTTCTGCTAAATGAGTAGCGCAGTCTAAACATCCAAAGGCCCAATTAGGATTTATTAAGCCCATAATAAAAGCTATGCCAGAATTGGACCATCCCGTATTGTTATTAAATTCAGCAAAAACAGAACGGGCAGGTTGATAATGACCTTTAGCACATACTACTACAGTAATCCCGGTGACTATAAACGAAAATAAAGATATGTAGATTGCACTTTTAGCAAACGTTGGTAAAAACCTACCGTGGCAGTTGAAAATAAATAAAAAGACGTTCATAAGCTGAAAAATCAAAAAGTTATGCCATTTTTGAATCTTGAAATTTGGATGCATCAAAACCCAGAAAGCCATAATCTCTTCAGCAATACTGAGAGTAATAGAAGTACTCATGAACTCAGCACCGGCCCAAGCGAATGATCCACATAAGTAAGCAAGAAAACCGGAATATTTTTTTGGTGACAATACTTTTGTCCACACATACTGACCACCTGCAGAAGGAATTGCCGATGACATTTCTGATAATGTAATGCCAACACAACTTGATACACATGCAATAATTATTACCCCGTACACAATCATCATAGGTCCTCCCGATTGAATACCTGCTACGAGTCCTGCTGATACGCCCCACCAAGAATTAGTCAACCCAAACCCAATACCCAAAATAGACCAAACAGAGAATGTCCTCTTTAATTCACCCTCTTTAAGCGAACAGAACGAAGAATCTTCATTTTTACATTTTTGATGAATGACTGAATTTATATCTAACCCTAAGTCTTTTTGGGCTACACTTTCTGAAGATTCTAATTTTTTAGTGCTACTCATAGTGCAAGCTTTGATTTTTACATTAGAATTTAGTTAAGCGTCGATGCCGCTCGCTAAATACCTTTTTTTCTGCGCGCGCTTTTTTTTTTTTTCATTTCTGTAGTTTACACTTTTTATGGTCTCAACACGACCGAGCTCACATACATGATGGAGTATTTCTTATTGTCTTGAGACATTAAAGTGTCACGCGAAATTTTTCCTTTATATTTGTGGGTGTGCTATTGGTCAGCTCCAATAGATCTCGCATTATTCTGATTATATAAAGATTAGAACTAAAAGTACGAAGCCGAGCATACCGACGTATTACGGTGCGAATAAATTTTTGGAGTCGTCTTGGTCCGATATGACGTCATGAAATTCTAAAACCTTGAAATCGCTAATTATATAAACAAGAAAGCTCCAAGACAAGGTAACAGCAAATTAACATATCACTGGATGAACCATAATAAACAAGCACTTCCGTATTGGACTCTCACATCATGTCAAGTATGTACTTTTCAGGAAGTAACGATATAACATATATGGTTCCAGAAGTAGATACATTGGTCTCAAGCCAATGTTGTAGCGCAGAATCAAGTAAATAGTGAGCGGAATACAAAAGCTTTTATAAAAAGTACCTAAGGATTCGTAGTTATAGAAATGATGATGAGACTTATTTGAAGCGAGTAATACCCAAGAGCGACGTTTCAGTGTCGATTAAGACAAAATACTATATACCTCTTCTTGTCGATTCACCCACTTTAATGGAATTTAAAGACGATAACGATGAACTCAAAGCGATCTATCATATACCTCTTAACGAGGCTCTTCAAGTACCAAATATTTCAATTCCGCTATTAGCGCCAGCATATGCTTTATCTGTTCTGAGATGCTATAAAAAAAGAGCATAATATCCAACATTATTCAGTTGAAATATATCTTTCAAGCTTAAATACTTATCAGTACATCCTGTGGTTGATGTGACGATTTTGGTAAGTATCAATCATAGGACACTCTTTGGATCTGCTAAAAATAATTGAGCTGTATATTCATATAGTAATAAAGCGAACAAGGTTCAGGTCTGCAATTAATCGAAATCGTTTTTAGCATAGGTGATTCCAAAAAAAGAACCTAACATAAAATTGAAGAGTTGAAGAAAACTGTGGAGAGCTAAGCTGAAAATTTGGTGAATCGAAGGCTTGGCTGTATATAACTAAAAGTTAGAAGAAAGAATGCTTCGAATGTTATGTACATTGGTTTTAAGAGATACCTTTACCAAGGATTTCTCTGTGATACTTTGGAATTCTTGATTATGAGAATAGAAATCAGAGTATAGCGCTTTGAATTTTTGGGATAGTTCAATTAAATTTGAGAAGTTGATCGAGTGTATTTGACCGGTTTATTACAAAAAGTGGTACAGACTTAGCTTACGTTCTTTACTTCAGTCGGTTTACACCACAGTTATATTACTTGTCTGATACCATCTCAGAGCTGATGGTATGAGCTTAACACTGATATAGGAAATTTTAGCATAAACTTTCGGGTAACTAAGGTCATTATAATAAGATCAAAACAACGTCACAACCGATCTACAGAAGCTTTTAATTTGGTTTCGTGGTAAAGCATTATCCAAAGGATGAACAATCCTATAGTTCAAAAAGATTATAAAGTAGATGCTCCAACCAATGAAAGTTATAACGAAGTAGTTAAATATGGGAGAAAACTAGAAATTGCCGTAGAACTGCAATAACATGCATCAGAGCTTGAATTACAAGCAAAACGCCAATGTCTAGAAATTCAAGTACAATCAAATAAAGATATGTAAATGATTCTTGAACAGAAAGCTAATGAAGAAGGGGCGGATACAGTGCCACTTTGGTTTTCAAACTGGGCTAGCTGTTTTGCTAGTGATGTGTCAGATTTTGAAGGGAGCCATTACAGGGATATCAACTGCTGTGAATCGAATTAATTTCAGAATCGCACGTCTTGAAAACAAAGAACTGAGAGCTTCCGGTTTTTCTAGTGGGAAGCTTCCATTTTTGAATGGGCAAGAACGAGGATTTACCAACCATTCTAAATATCGCAGACATTGAGATTTTAACAAGAGAACAATGTATTCATTATTTATGGGTCTATGGTGTTTCATTTACAAATAATGATACTATCCCATTGAAAAAGGAATTAAAAGATACAATTGGTTTCACGTTAAGAAGTGATTCAATATTCGACTTTCATATTTTTCGAAATTAAATTGGCAAGTTGTCATTTGTTTTTACAGTATAATTGAAATAGAATAGAGTCCATGTATGCGTACCACTTACAAGATATCTTGTACAAGTTACTTGATAATTGATTTGCTGTTAAAAAAAAGGGAGGGAGAATAATATTCTGCTTTAGAATTGACAAGGCTGATACGAGTTGGAAGCTGGCTTCTAAAGTATATGCCGTTGGAAATTGTTCAATGTAGAACAGACACGAGTGGATTATCTTGAGCTGTTTTTAATGATTTCTTTAAGACAATCTATGCTACCAACCTATTGTTGAAATTTCTAGTGACTGTAATTTAAGGTTGAGGTTTTCATAAGTAAAGCTTTTCAAACAATAACCGTTTGTTCCCATAATTTCATGAAAACAACAAGGCGTCAGCCAATAAGTTATAATTGCAAACACGTTATTTTTTTCAAATACAGTCTTAAATTGTTTTGATTATGCTTGCTATTTCTTCATTAAAGTCTTCTTGAATATCATGAACCCTACTTATAACAACACCAATTGGATAAATGTATTCTTCCAATAAATATCGGCATTTAATGAATTGTTCTTTACATTATCAGGTGAACTAAAGTAGTTTCTTTGAATTAATCACTACTCATCTCCCTAAATCTAGCCACCGCGAAGACATTAGTGATATAAAAACTTGTATCAAAGGACTATGCTCTAGATGCATCACTCTCAGATACTAATTTCTCTGATGAGGTCTCTTGTTTACCTCCATAATCTGTCACTGGCTAGAACTGCAATAACTATACAAGCTTAAAGATGTCACTTATTTCTTTAGAATATGATTTCAATTGTGTTAAGATAAAATTAACTCTAACAGATTTCGACTAGAAATATTGTTTCATTCTTATAATATTAGTTTCATTTATTATTACATTAACTAAAAATACATTGGAGTAAATGGAATCAGCATGGTTGCATGAAATTAATGTTTAAGTTGAAGAATGCGATATCTATTCGGAATTCGATAACCAACTGACTTGGTTGTCAATAAAGTTGCATAATTCTGTATTATCCTCTTGGTCAAAATGTCTAAAACGGAGCTTCTTTATACATAGAGCTCTTTGCATGTTAGCCCATTGCGTTAATTCAAAATCGATTGTAGTATTGTTTTCAACCGATTTCCTTTCAAATGAAAAACCCTTGTACATCCTATAGTGCAATCTTTTTTCTTTTTTATCATAGATACTATCTCTTCGCATTATATTAGCAGGGTCAATTTTTGGAGAACGACAATGCATTGCAAATATAGGGTTATCATTATCTGAAGTAAAATGATCTTTTATTATTTGTTCCGCGCATTGTAAGCGTTCATTTAATGGAACCGTGCTCTTTTCTTGTTCAACAAGAGGTTTCAACACTCGTTCTTTGAATATTTCATAATCTTTAAGTGGATTCTTTTGTGCCATTGCTTTCCCTTGAAGAGGATTACCTTTACCATAATGTCCTATACCCTTAATAGGGGATTTCAATTGGTAAAACTTTTGTTTTAAAACAGTAGCGGCAGCTGTAAAAGTATCTTTATCACCTTCTCCTAATTCACCCAAGGAAAATAATTTATAATATAATTTAGGTCCATATAAGTTATAATACAAAGACAACAATAAAGTTCTCCCGTGTGATAGTTTATTAATGAAAAGTTGACCCGATTCCGTTGATAAATTAGGTACAGTACCATCTAGATCATGAAAGGGTACGGAATCTCTTTCAGCATCTGACAAGTTATCATTACTTTCGGTGTAACCTATTGGAAGTCTGTCATACCTAACTCTTTTTCTCTCATTTACCTCAGTCCCTGATATATTATAGAAATGAGGAGAAATTGTACGTTCAGAATAATCAGGCCAGGTAATCATTCCGTATTTCTTGTATAGATCACTATCAAAAAATGGATCAGGGTTCTCAATGACAATATTATCTGAATCCAATAATAAAACGTTTTGGAAAGATGATGCCAATACGGCTAAAATTTTAAACTGATATGATTTAATCTTTTTATTCCATCTATTCATTGTTGAAGCTCCAAAAGCATCAGGGATAACAACGCACGAGGCGTTAAGTTTAGGAAGAATTTCAATACAAAACTCGAGTTCTTGTTTATAATCAAAATATGTAGGCATTATAACTTCTACTGGTAATTTGGATCCTGTCTCTCTTAAACTTAGGAGTGATAAATAAGATAACCACGAAAATTTTCCTCCTCCAACAAATACAATTCCATTGGACTCAAGGTTATAAGTTGTTGTAGGTAACTCTGAAGGTAACTCTTCAAGTACATTTTTATGCCTTACTTGTAATTCTTTAAATGCCTTATCCGAAATGATTGCCTTAGATAGCAATACTTCTTTCGTGTTTGTTATTTTCTTCCCAGAAACTTTGGTGTAACTTATTGCATTGCGTAGTTCAGACTTATTAAGATGTAACCTATTTTCCCTTATAATTTTGAATACTTTGTTCCAAAATGTATATGCCTCTGTCTTGTCTGCTTTGAACTTTCGGATATCTTCATCGGTAAACTTTTCATTAGAAATGGAAGCATAATACCCTTTAATAGAAATAGGACTTATATAGCTATCATATTTCCAAGTTTCGCTAATTGTAATCAAAATCAATAATACTAGTACTGCCCCAAAAACTGTAAACTTCACTCTTATAGACCGCAAATAACTTCCCACCAATATCATTCTTCAAAGGGGATTAAATTTAGAGTTTTCATGGCTAATAAAATTTCTGTCAATTATAAGATCAAAAATAACACAAAAATGACACGCTTCCTTAGAGTCATTGTATTTTTGGTGAATATGTATGCGAATTTTAATGAATTGATTCGGAACTTTCGGCACATTCGTATATTGATGTAAAACTTTTAATAGAATATTATGTTTGTATCGCCTACTCTTATGATGATCTACTTATATAAAAAGGCAAAGTATCTAAAAGGCAAAGTATCTAAACATCCTTAATGTTTGTAGATGCAAGAGTGCTAGTTTAGATCTAGTAAAGTCCTATATAAGAAGATTTTACCGCATCTGTATTTGTTCAATGCCTATAAAAGCCACAAAATCATGCAGATTTCAATTATGCGTCAATGTATTTACACAACTAACAAAAGAAATCATGTACATGTAGTATTTCGCCAAGAAACTTTCCTGTTTAGTAAGACAAATTTCAGTATCTAGTTTGTGACAACAGCTGGAATACTAATGTAATTTAAAATAAAAGTGTATTCTTACTGTATAGACTATAAGCATTGCACTACTAAGTAAATTATAGATTTTGGTAGTAACCAATCAAGCTTTCAAGTAATAAATTATCGCAAAAATGTTAGTATCTACAAGATATATATATATGAAAGCTACTTTCTATTGTTGTAAGTGCATACTAAATGGACAGTCATAAGATTTAGTGCTATCTAAAATAAATTAAGGCTTCACATACAAAAGTACGACTGTGTTTTTCAATTAATATATTATATCGCGCTTTAATTATGGGAAAATTATACTCGTAGAGCATGTGGCTAAAAATTTTGTAGGTGAGGAAAAAAATCAATCTGTCCCTAAAAAGTTACATAAATACATGATCGACACAAGATATTTAGGAACTTCTACAAACTAAGCCAGGGCAAATCATAGGTTGGTCTTGCGGTGAAAAAAAAAGGGAGGGTTCTAAATCCTAATCTGTCGTTTTTCCAATTGTGAAATCTACAGATGAATTAAAACCATATTTTTCTATAATGGTATATTAGGACATTGTAATTACGTTTGAGATAATTCTATTAAATTGGAGTCGCATGAATTACGAATTAGAGAATTTAGGAGATTTGCCTATTTTTAGTGCACAGAAACAAAATAGTAAACCCTTTCGCTGAGAAATTCTGCAAATAAAGATCTACTCCGTTTTATCGGAAGTATTGAAATCGGCAATACAATCATCGGATATTCAACACTAGTACCAGGAACATCCCTAGCAGCGTTATTTACGGAAGCTGATAACCGCTGTTACAGATGGTTCCGAGAGATACCTGAAGTCAAAATGTAAATTTTGTTCAATCATTCGTTAGTCGCACAATATTCCCCATCTCAGAACAGCATACAGAATCAATAGCAATTCCCAACCGGACGCATGCTAGCCTCTTCAAATAACAGGCTAGCAATTCCCAGCTACTTCTATTTATATTAGGAAACGGAAGGTATCAAACGGCCAGTGTCCATGATATCCATCGACGGTCCGCATACAAAATACAACTATCCTGCACGAGGACAAGTTCTTCTATATGATCAACTTTATATAATAGAAAAAATAATACTAGCATATCTATCCAATGAAAAGAAGAAAAAGGCATACCGGTGTTTAAAGTTCTCAAGGAGCTTATTTTCCAGGACAGGCCGCATTCGAATGGCACATCCCATTTTACAGCCGTATTTTGAGAGAGATTATATTGAAGGTGCAGATTTTACTCTGTACGATACATGTATATATGCAAGCTAAAGTTGTGCAATAACCTAATTACCGAAGTTGTGGTGGCCACCCCAAACGACGAAGTGGTGAGCAAGTGATGAAGCACGGTCAAGATCGGATAGTATCGGAGAATATCGGAAGAACTTAAAAGTTGAGAGCAAAGGGTTAGAGCTCATAAAGCCGATCTTGACTTTTATTTAATTCAATAGATGCGAGAATGAATTGGTGAAGATTGGAAAATGGAATATTTATTGGAGAATATGGAAGATTTGAGTGGAGAAGTTCGATTGTGGGGTTGGCGCATCTCTAATAAGCATTCCAAGAAAAACAATTAATACCATGTAAATTACAATAGGCTTTCACAATATACCAGCAACTTAAAACATCCCACTATTCTGACCCACTTATGAAGCTCCGGTATTATCCACTTTAAATTTGCCAAGAATTGGTATATTGGTAAAACTATCAGGAAATCAAGTTTATGTTCCAAACTATGGGCTTGAATATGGCGCTAACGCAAACGATAAACATAATTTGCTAACCCACATACTACTTGCCTATTTTTCATTTCTGCTTGTTGAATAACCCCACTTATAAGGTCCGGTTTTATCCACTTTATAGTTGCCAAGGATTAGCATATAGGTAATCAACTTTTTGTTTTCAAACTCTATGCTTGAGTATGGGGGGTTAACGCAATGATGAACAGAATTCGTTAACCCACTCGCGAATTTGCGATATATGCCAGAAGACATATTTTCAAAGTTGATAGCTACTATCAAAAAATATTATATAAATAAGCATATTCAAGGGAAACATGTAGATTGTAAAACGTCAGTATTTTCTACTTCCTTGCAACGTCACTTTCAAAATGAGCCGTTATAGATCAGATGAAGAATCTGCCAGTGTCCAATCCGAATACGCTCCATCAATGGAGATGAGAGAACACAACAAGCATGTTGTCCAACCACCTAATTTTTCAATGTATTCAATTTCAAAATACTTTAGAACAAGGATTCCGTCTATGTTTTTGACAAGAGACGAATTGGATCAGTATACCTGGAATGATGTACTTAACCCATTTGCAGCGGCCAAAGAATTAAATGGTCGCCAATGGAATTTCTTTTTAGTTGGTCTAGCTGGCTGGACATGGGATGCGTTTGATTTTTTTCTTGTTAGTTTAAATGTAGCATCCATTGCAGAAGACCTCAATGAGTCAGTTACCAGCATTACGTGGGGTATCACTTTGGTTCTTATGCTTAGATCAGTTGGTGCCGTTATATTTGGATTATGGGGTGATAGATATGGGCGAAAATGGCCCTATATTACAAATATGTTTTTATTGGTTGTCCTTCAAATTGGGTTTGGTTTTGTAAAGGATTATAAGTCATTCTTGGGCGTACGAGCATTGTTTGGAATAGCCATGGGTGGTATGTACGGTAACTGTGCAGCTTGTGCATGTATGTATTTTTCGTTTCAAAGCACAACAGTTCTGGTGATAAAATTGGTATGAAATGGATTACTAACATTCAACGTAGTGGATGATGCTCCTAGGAAAGCAAGAGGACTCTTATCAGGTACCTTTCAACAAGGTTATTCTTTGTACGTATTAAATTTTAAAACCTTATCTGTATTTTTATGATGCATACTAACATTTTACTAGAGGTTATTTATTAGTGGTCATTTTTAATCGTGCAATTACACACAATTCTAAATATGGCTGGAGAGCACTCAGCTGGTTTTCAGCTGGTCCTGCAGTAATTTTTATGGTTTGGAGATTCTTTCTACCTGAAACCGATACATTTTTAAAACAAAGACAAAAGATGTTAGGAAATAATGATAAGATAATAGAAAATAATGACAAGAAATTGAAAATATTTGGATTTAGCCAAGACACAAAAAAGGCGATAAAGAATTATTGGTTGATTATGATATATTGTGTCTTATTAATGTCTGGTTTCAACTTCCTGTCTCATGGCTCAGGTGATTTGTATCCTACATTATTAACTAAGCAATATGGTTATGGTGCTGATCGTTCAACAGTTACTAATTCTGTCTCTAATTTAGGTTCAATTACTGGTGGTATGATTCTTGGTCACTTATCCACATTCATTGGACGTAGATTCGCAATTGTTATAGGAAGTGTTCTTGGCGGAGCCATGATTTATCCATGGGCATTCATCAAAGGTTCTGGTATAAATGCTGGTGCGTTCTTCATGCAAGCAGGTATACACGGCTCGTGGGGTGTCGTTCCAATTCACCTCTCCGAATTGTCTCCACCGCAATTCAGGTCTTTAGTTACAGGTCTCGCTTATCAATTGGGTAATCTATGTGCTAGCGCAAGCTCCACGATTGAAAGTACCCTTGGAGAAAAATTTCCAATTTCTATAGAAGGAGAAGAAGATGTTTACGATTATGCGAAAGTGATGCTGATTTTTATGGGATGTGTGTTAGTTTATTTAATCATAATTACTGTATTAGGTCCAGAAAATAGGGGTGCTGATTTAGACGTTGGAAGAGATGAAATATTTGACGATGATGATATACATGATGTAACAAATAAATCAACTGACTCTATTGAGCACATTGAAAAAGAAAAGAATGAAGAAAAAACAACTATTGGGCATGTGAATTGAACAAGATTTAATTTTTGATATAGATAGTTATGTTATATTGTTTAGTTCAAACGTATCATTCGGTTTATAATTTTACTAAATCTAATTTACTTAGTGATGTATATTCTTTGCACCTGGAGATTGCTTATTTAGGAGCTTTTACAAGCCGGTTGAAGTTAGTGCAAATTGTAGATTGGTTTCGCAAAGTACAATGTCGCCAGCGCAATATCGTCAATGCTAGTAAAGGGACTAGCTTACATTTTACTATATCTTGCATCTGCACACCACATATATTCAATGCGACTTTACACTGCATTTTGCAGGTCTGGATATGTCTGGGGCGTTAAGTTTGGTAAATGAGAATAATGAGGTGGGATTATTAAAATGTGATAGCGTTGAGATGGCCTATAGCTGAAGAGAGATATTATTTATTGAATTTGAAGGCCAAAAATATATGGCTAATATTTCATGGTCATATTAATGATATATTAAATGTGCTTAAATTAATAAGTAGTAAACAAAATGACGAAAACCAATTTCATAGAGATATATAGTGCCTTTGTTTATTTCCTCATAGTTATGTTACTGTATAGCACAGTTGGTTAGAGGATTTAGACTCTTTATCAAAATTATAAGCCTGGATTTGTTTACTTTTGTTTGGTGCATAAAAATCAATCAGAGAGTTATTAATCTACATGTTATTTTCCCAATCTTCAGACAATGACATATATTCTATTAATAGAATTAATAAGCATTGCAGAGATTTCCATTAACAACTACTCTGTATACATATCGCAGTTTATATAGTCTAAGTAATTATTAATGGTTTCTAAGCACACCTAGTGCGGGATAGAATAAAACAAAGTAATACTGATTGCTACCCCTTAACACCTCTCTCAGAAATATATCTATCCTAATAAATGCAATAACTGAAGCCGGGCTATTTTCCGAAAAGAAAATAAAGGGTTAATTTTTGGTTTTTGAAAATTGACAACCCTGACGTGTGGCATTCTAGGAAAACTGTTAACCTAGTTTCGAGCTTTCCAGAAACTTTTTGCCCTCTTTCTGTCTTAAAAAAAAAGAGTGAAAGCCTGACTTTACACAACCATCTACAAGTTAGGATCCAACCCCATGTGTGTTAATTTTAACAGGATCAAAAGTGAGCACAAAAGGTTGTGTAGTATATCTGGCCCGCCAATTCCGAAGTAATGTGAAGAATCGAATGAAAGAAGTATAAGTTGGTAACTATATAGACGGGTATATGGGGAAGAAAAAAGCTTTTAAAATTACCTAGTCAATAGTAAAAACATTCGAAATTGAGGAGTTTGAGAATTTGCTGCAACCTGCCTAATACGATTATGGGTGCCGACTCCTCTTAATATAAAAATGATGGATAGATTCCATTACACCGAGAATGACATGCACGACCAGATATACAACTTTCCCTGTTCTCCGCCAAAGCATTCTCAACCACCTCCAGCGCCTTCCCTACATCCTGTTTATTGTGGCCACATATTACCACTTTGCCATGTCTCTGCTCTACAACCAAGAACCATATAGATCTTCGTGTTTCGCCAATATGGCGCAAGATATTGGGGTTCATAATGATGTGGAAATCAAAATATAGAAAGAGGTAGACTATGGAGCCAAATAGTGGGATATTTTTCAAAAGGCCGATTTTGGAAAGTTGGTTTACAACGAGATAAACAGAAGCCTTTACGGAGGGTTTGAATTTAGTTTAGTCAAAACCAGTTGCACACCGTCACAAGCGATTTCAGATTTTCTGGCCTCAAGTCCTACAATATCAGGAAAGAATAAGGCTTATGAATTATCATTGTTGGCTGCATAGCAATTTTTGTTACGTTTGTGAATAGCCTTCTTGAGGATATTAAATTCAAGGTGTGTGATTTACAGGAGTTTGTGGTGGAGCACTACGGCCACAAAAAAAAAGAGAACGAGTATAGCAAGAAGTACGATACACTTCTGCTGCAGCTTCTAAAAGTCAATCAAAAGCCGCTAGTGAGATTCTTGAATCAGCAAGTCTGCTCAGGTATATCTGGCTATAAACAGTGAAATATCTGAGAGTCAGCAGGCCCCGAAACAGTACATTAAGCAAGAAGTTCCCAAAGAAATAAAATGTGTACGAGCTCCATATTTTTCCCAAAGATAAAACACTGGGAAAAGAAGGACACCATTTATAACCATAGCAACAAATGTGGCACTTACGTACTGGGCTCCTCAATAAGTTTGCAAACTGAATGGAAGTAAAAATATAACAAAAGCCGCCATCAAAAGAAAAGCACCAATGTTGTCAAACTCATGAATATAGTGAATAACAGATTGCAAAGGCCATGCTTTCTACCTTTTTTATAATACCCATCTTGAGAGCTTTTCTGGTAAAACTTGAAAACGAATGCAAGTAGAACGAAAACAAAAGGCATAATAATGGCAAAAGCACCATAAGCCCATTTCCACGAGATCAAGCTAAGTAAAGATTGAACAGCAAGTGGAATAGTGAAAGCAGTGCAAATGAAAAGAGTACGAGAAAAATGCAAATCCAAAATCACGGTTCCAAAGACTGTGTGTATCAGCGATAAACACATCCAAAATTAATTAAATTGCATTATAGCCAATCCAATACAAAACGTGTCCAGCAGTGTAAGTATCAGGACCTTTATAAACAACAAGAATGACCATACCAAGTATATAAACACCAAAACAAAAAAAAGCCTTCAGCACAACCCCAAATATTCAAAACCTTAGCAGTTTAGGGACACCCCCAAAGATTGATGCCAAAATATTAATAGTAGAGATTCCAGAAGCTGATGAAAATTCTGCGTAGGCATAGGTTTGCACATTTGCACTAATCGAAGAATGGAAAGCTAACATGAAAAAACATATCCAGATCCAAGCGTAGGTAAAGTAAAGGACTTTTCTACCCCACACAAGAGTGACCGCTTCAGCTTTTTGCACACCAAGAAGTTGGTCAACTGACACTTCATCCGAGAGGTTTTCTTCGTTACTCAGGCGAAAGTTTTCCTTTTCAAAGTTATCGTCAACTTTAATTCCCACTTTAACGATGTCCTGATCAGACTGTTTTGAAAAATTGAAAAAAAACTGGCCTATTGTTTTGGATTTATGTATTGTCCAGAATTTATCCGAAAATATATTGTTTTATATATATACCACAAAAAAAAAATCGTTTCATTAATGCATTGAATTCCATTACGATTTGGACGAAGAAATGTTCAATATGCTTCATAGATTTAATAATAGATTTCCAAACTTTGTTTTGCAACTTTTTACATTTCCCCAAATTATTTTAGCATTAAACAAATTAATACATGTCTTGTAGAGTCTTTACATCGGTAAGGTTTGTGCACAAACATCTATAAGAAAAATGATATGAATAGTCGGTTGGATTTTTTCGAGAGAACATTGCGTTTGTTGGTGCAGCATCGTGCAGTTACTATTTTTGTGCAGTTACTGTTTTTTTTCCTGTACTAGATACACTACTGAAAAATATCCTAATTCGTAAAATTTTGACCATTCCATTACATCATTTAGTAGCACGAAATACATCATCAAATGTAGCGGATAAAAGACAACAATTAGAAAAATTCAAGGAAACTTTAAGATCTGAACACAAGAGAAGTAGTTAACCTCTGACTGTTTTTATTGTTCAGGAAAATTTGTGAAATAGTATATAATTAGTAACTATTAATATACTGTGAAGTAATATTTTCACTTATATGTTTTATAGGTCTAGAAATTATACACGATTAGCAAGCAATGCATCTGCACAAAATCTTTCCTCGGATATAGCTGTTTTCTAAGCTGTATTTGATGCTCCAGAAACACGAGTCCCATAGAACAGAAACACAAATTGGTATATTTGGGTTTCCTGCTTCTTTAGGTCGATGCATGACGTATGTATTTTTTTTTCCATCTTATGGAGAGTCACCATAATATTTACCAAATTTATATGACAGGGAATAATCGAAGGAAAGTTATTAGTTGTGAAAGTTAAATCCCTGTCTTCTACATATCTTCGATAAAACATAATTAGACGATGAATTAATATCGTCGATACTTTTATGACGAATATTATTCATGTCTTACACGATGTGTTTTATAACAAAAAGTTTATTCAATAGTACGGCAAATGGAATTATAATATAGTAGGCTTGGATTCTACAGCCCACCAGACATCTACTTGGTCAGCCACCTCAATGCCGCGCACCCCATGTCGCGCCTCCCTCGGCCCACGCTACACAGAATCACCGTGCTCTCGATGTGCAGTACCTGCACCACCAACGGCGAAAGTGATTCTTAAGGAAGTGGCGCCCCTCATGTCGATTCCAAGAAGGGGCCCACCTTATGGCCAGCATGATGGCCTCCGTAGTGGCCAAAATCGTGACGCTTCTCAGCGCCAACATCAACCATAACAATCTCGCAGAACTCGACATGGTGCGACTCCTCATCAGGTATAAGGGAAGGTATGAATAGATATGAAGAACCGGTATCTTGAAAAACAAAAACGGGGGAAGGGTGATTATGGAGTGAGTGTAGAGGGCATGCAAAAAAAAAAAAAAAAATTATAAATGATGTGCATATAAATTTCACTGAAGCAATATAAGAACAGAAACCAAATCCAGTATCGAGAAATAAAATTTTAATTAATCATTTCAAATTGTAGTAATTAGTTATACTTAGCCTATATCATTATAGCAATATATTTCCTGATAGAAATAATATAAAATGACAACATGGAGCTCAGAGGGTGCTGGTTTATCTAGCTTTATAGATGATCAGGATGAATTACGTGGTTGTTCGGATAATATGACTGATGTCGCATCGGAAGAACAGATAATGGAAAGAAAAGGTCTTAATCTGACTAATTCAGATTCTTGTCCACCAAATCGAAAGTGGAGGGCATACATGGTGCTTACAGGATCGTTTATCGTGATATTGACCAATTTGGGTCTTATTAATTCGATTGGAGCTGTCCAGGCACACGTTAGTCGAAACCAGTTGAAAGATGTTAGTACATTCGGCATCTCGTGGGTTTTCTCTATCTTCCTTTGTCTTAGTTATTCTGTTGGTCTCGTGACAGGAAGTATATTTGACAAAAGAGGTGCACTAGTACTATTGATTCCGTCTGCTTTATTTATGATTTTGGGAATGTTCGGGGCAGCATTCAGCAAGTCGGTTTACCAGTTTATTCTAAGCTTTATTGCTGTAGGAATTTCATGTGGTTTGTCATTAACGCCATCGGTCGGTGTAATTAACCACTGGTTCGATATCGATAGAATAGGTACATGTCAAGGTATTGCTACAAGTGCCGGTTCCGTAGGTGGATTGGCATTCCCATTACTTTTAAATCACATGTATTCTACGTATGGGTTTAGAGATGCCATTATAACCTTAGGATGCTTATGTTTTGGATGTTTATTGATTGGAATGGCATTGATAGGGAAAGGTGTAAAAAGAAATGAGACGTCTTCATTCAATGAAAGAAAAGAGCATATATCAAAATGGAAACAAGTGAAAAATAATATGAAACTTTTTAGCTTCGGTCAACTAAAAGATATTAGGTATCTTTTTCTTGTTATTGGATCATTTTTCGCTGAATTATCCTATGTTATAATAGTCACCTATTATGATACGTATGCACTTGCTCAAGGTGTCACAGAATCTACGGCTTATTTGCTTTTAACTGTGTTCAATGCAAGTGGAATTCCTGGAAGATTTTTGCCTGCCTATCTTTCAGATTATATCGGAAAATACAACATGCTACTTATAATGTTATTGGGTTACGTGCTTTCGATATTCATTTTATGGTTCCCATTTGGCTATAGTCATAACGTTCTTTATGCATTTGCTGCGCTTTGTGGATTTTTTCTGGGCCTGATTTTAACAATGCTTCCAATATGTCTAGCCGAAATAAGTGATGTTCTGGAATTTGGAGAAAGATATGGTATCGTAAATTTCTTTATAAGTATTGGGAATTTATTTGGTATCCCAATTGCGGCTGTCATTATTGGCAATGAATCTGTTACAAACTACAATCATTTCGCTATCATGGCGGCTGTCTTATCAGTTGTTGGTACATCTTTTTGGTATGCAAGTAGACACGCTATAGTAGGATTTCGATTAAAGGTGAAGATTTAGCACTGATGCAAAATCAAGTTTAATATGGATCTAAAAACCAGAATATTGTTCTTCGGGAAATTCACTCGCTTTGAATTACCGAATATTGCAAGTTGTTGTGGTGTGTCTATGAAATTTAGATTGCCCATTTTTCCCATAGTTAGGTGTACGTTTCCACCGTAATGTCGCGAATGTCGCAGATGTTTGTTAAACTAGTAAAAAAAAAAAAAAAAAAAGGGGGGGGGGGCAGCAAAACAAGAATGGGGTATATTACGTCATCATCAAAATTACACTTTCTTGTAACTGTACAAGAGGAACAAAGTCGTTTATGGTTGTTAGCTCTGTCGGAAGATTGATCATTTCAATCCATTTTTCGCTCATTTGCTGCTGCTTCCACTAAACTATTTTCGAAATCTCTTGCGTTTGTCTTCTCGTAGCTATTTTAGCGCTACAACGGATGAGTGTCCCACTTGAGATTCAAGAAACCTATATATCAAATTGGAGCTTAGTTTCGTCGTCGAACTAATGTTTTTCGTAGTGAACTGAATAATTATTTGTCTCCAATCCCGGACTCCCAATTGTGTTTTTAAACACTTTGCACTTAAAGTCTTCATAAGTGAGTAAATATAATCTGGAACTACGAAGCTAGTGCCTAAATCAATAAATAAATACCTAGCAATAACATCCACTAGATTTTGCAACTTCTCTCTATTGGTTGTATTATTAATCTATCAATTCCACTAGTGCTCTAATTACACAAAATCTTATATAGTTTATATGTATGACGGGACGGGTTTCGCAACAATCTTGCGATATACCCTAGATATGAGTTTGTACCATTTCTGATATTCTCAGTTTCATTATACGTGATGTTACTATGATTCTCCCACCCCTGAAATAGATATTTCTATTTTTATCTTTCAAGGATAAAGCCCACTGTCTCCTATATTCGAAATAAAATACATGATAAGTATTATGAGCTTGTTTAGTTTATGGAACTTATTTTGGAAAATGTTTCATACATTATTCTTATCAATATTTTTGAACTCACGGGATACAAGCAACTTTTTTTGGAGTAAACTTTGGATCCTAATCGTCAATAAAAATTTCTAACCTAGGCTCGACTAGTCGGGTTTCATAAATTTTGTATAAGGTATATGTCCATGCATGGAATATAAGATAAATTCACTTCCTTGTCCGTTTGTAGGGCTTTCGAGTATTTTAAAAATTAGGAGAGTTATTGGTAACTTGAAATAACCTACTCCCCATTCCTTTTAAACTCTCATACATAGTTATATATTCTGCATTCCGCAATTTTTGTGAAAAGTACTCCAAGCCCAAATTCTCGTTACATAAGGATTAATTAATTCGAATTTCATGCAATATCGACGGCATCAAATACGAACTGTATTCCATTTTGGTCGTTAAGTCCAAAGTCAATTGGCTCTATATAGTTGACCAACAATGAAGTGAAAAAAAATTTCTCATTAGTTCAAAAATCTAGGACTATTTTTCTGAAAATGAAATTTTCCTTAATATACGTCGTCGGAACATCTTCTATACTTACAATTTCTTCAAAATTTTAGTTTAGAATGGCACATCTTCTTCACGTTATTGTAAATTTTGGAGCATAAAAATATATAATCTTGAATAATGTTTGACATCAACAACAATAGGCGCTTTTTCGACTTAATATATTTTTTTGTAAACCTATATTGAAACAAGCTAAATTGGAAACATTTATTATCAAATATTTTCTCGCTATATTCATATTTTTGTTCGAATCTTTTGGGGAATACAACAAATTATCAAAGCTGTTCAAGTGTTTGTCATAATTTTCTATTGAAGTTTCATATCATTTAAATATTTATTGCCAAAATTACAATTTTAAATAGAGTTCTTGTCAGCTTAGGCTTGCCAATAAAAAACTAATTTTTAAAACGAATTAAGGGGGTGACAACAAAATGGCTTTTCTTCACCCATTCTATAAGTATATAATATAGATTATGCCGGAGCCGAATTTACCAATGGTCACTACGAATCATAATTTTCCGCACCTATCGCAATTCCACTAGTTTAGAGAAAAAAATGGTGTCGGTAACGTGTAGAGCTCGAAATTAAAGTATTGATCCCTCCCCCATCATTATTCTCGCATTTAACAAATAAGCTATTAAACGGCCGGTACATGCTAAAATGAAGGTCATCATCTATCGGGGATATCTCAAATTTTATGGTACCGAATGAAAATATTCGTATATAAATCGTTTCTCTCTCGTCCTAGATTAATACTAAACATCTTTAGCTGTTAATTAATATGGCAAATACTGATGTTGATGGAAGCAATAATATTGCAAAACTGGTTTGTAGGGACGATTATTCAGATGCAGAATATCAAAAAGAACTCACTTTGGAAGATGTTACGCCAAAACTAACCAAATGGTTCTTTCAATACCCATATTTGTTAAAGTTAAATTTATATTTAGGGTGTGCTTTATTCGGTATGGTTACTCAAGGATATGACGGTACTTTAATGGGTACTTTACAAACAATTCCCACTTGGAACAGTTATTTTAATAATCCTTCTGGTGAAAAATTGAGTACTTTGACAAACGGTGTAGTGTTTGGATCAATAGCTACCACACCATTTTTGGTTATATCTGGTGACCGTATTAGAAGAAAATATATGCTTCTTATTGGTATTATTGCATCAATTATAGGAGCTGGATTACAAGCCGGTGCTGTGAACTATGGTATGTTTCTCGGATCCCGTATTGTGTTAGGTCTTGGTGGCGGTGCTACACAGATTGCTTCTGCACCGTTGTTAGCGGAAACAGCCTACCCTTCTCAAAGACCAGCTATAACAAGTATGATGCAAGCGAGCTATCCTGCTGGAGCATTTTTGGCAGCGCTTTTTGTATATGCTGGTTTTGAATCAGATTTGAATTATAACGATTGGTCTTGGCGCATGCCTTCGGTGTTGCAGGCTGCATGTCCACTAATTCAATTAGTTTTGGTATTTTTTTGTCCAGAATAACCAAGATGGCTTATAGCGCACAACAAAGAGGACGAGGCATTCGAAGTTTTGACTAAGTATCACGCGGGTGGAGATAGAAATAGCGAGCTAGTTAAATTTGAAATGGCGGAAATTAAAGCTGCAATTGCTAAAGAGCAGAGTGGAAGGAAGGTTTCCTGGTTAACATGGTTCCAAACAAAAGCAAATTTTCATAGATTATTTCTCACTATTGCGCTACCAACTATTATACAATTGTGTGGATCTTCTCTCGTGTCATACTATTTTTCAATCGTTCTTGAAGGGATTGGTTATACTGATCCGGTTGAAAAGTTGAAAATCAATATTGGGTATACTGTTTATGGCGGTGTCTTCGGAGTAGTTGCCGCTTTGTATTCTGGTAAATTAAAACGGAAAGTTTTGATGTTAGGAAGCCTTGGGTTAATGTTGATAACTTTTATCATTTGGACTATATTATCGGCTATAAATGAACAAACAAACCATGAGAATAAATCATTAGGTAGAGGTATTGTAGCAGTAATGTATTTCCATGCAGGATTTTACCATGCGTTCTCCCCAATTGGTAACACATACGTCATGGAGGTTGTTCCTTATACATTGAGAGGTAAAGCTGCAATTTTGTATTCATTAAGTCTGCAGGTTTGGGTTTTGTTTAACAATTACGTTAACAACCTTGGGATGGATTCCATTTCATGGAGATACTATATTGTATTTTGTGTTTGGTTGTTTTTACACATGGTCGTTATCTTCTTCTTGTTTCCTGAAACCCATGGATTGGGCTTGGAAGAAATTGCCCAGATATTTGGTGAAGATATTTCTGATTTTACGATAGAGGCTGACAATGCAATTATTGAACATAGTGAACCTGAGTTAAAAAGTCAAGTAGATCATATCGAAAATATTTCTCCACTGATTCCAAATACTAGATAGAAATAGCTTAATTTAGTTTGTATGTATCAAAGAAAATGTCAAAATAAAGTGTAAGGCCCCGTATTAGTCTTATAAATCAGCACCAACCTTAAGTTAAATCGACTATATCCCCAACAAAATATTTTTAATAGTTGGAACCGCCACAGATATTTTTAAATTAAGCTGTGGATATGTTGTAATACACCCGAGAGAATTTAAAATATGGAATATAGGACTTATATGAGCTTTATGCGTGTATAATGATGGTTTGCTCCCTAGTTGTTTCTGTCGCAACCTGCCGTTTTGGGTGCGAACGTTTCTTTTTGCCTTCTTTTCTAATTATCAATGGCTATACTTGTCAAAATATCCAGCTTCTGGGCTTCTGGGCCAGCCCGATTGCCCCGAGCCAGGATTCAGAATATCTAGTCAGTATTCTCACTCCTCATAAAGCGAGTTTGTTTCCTCAACTTTATTTCTTTTTGCGATCTAGTAAAAACTTTATATGTAGAACTATCAAAATGATTAACTTTTGTTATTTTCATTCTCGATACTAACGCATCAATTTCTCGTTTATTTGAAATACTCTCCAATTTTGTAATATATTCATTTATCCTTTTACCACTTGAACATTCAGAAATGTTTTCAGGCGCATCAGAGGTTAAATCATAAATATCAGGAATTATGGTATACATCGTTCCGAGAGTGTCAAAGCAACTACGTCTCCCATTTCAGACTTACTTCCAAGATCAAGGAATTCTACTACTCTAATCTGGCCGCTGGGTTATACATTCGATACTTTGTTATATGTTACCTAAACCTCCGTTCTCAAAGATATAATCGACCTTGTCTTTACCTATTATTTCGTTAACCCTTCTCCCCAATTAAGAAACTTGTTATAGTTAAACGCTTAATTAACATCTTATTTTTCCTTCATCATTTTATGTTTTCATCGGATGATGAAGTGATAACAGTAGTTTCTCCTGCTGCCTTTACCAGCAATAATCCAATCGTAGATACACCACCAGTTTTTCTTGTAATAAAACAACTTGGCCCGGTTTCAACAGATTATTATCATACAATACATTCCATACACTTGTTCTGGCACATACTAAATAAGCTAGCTTTTCCCAATAAGCTTCAGGTATGAAGGCACATTAACAACAGATTCATAAGGTACAGTTATACACTCTCTTAAAACGCCATCTAGAGGTCCACCTAATCCACTTCTCCAAGACCTTAGAGGGTCATAGATATTGCTGATATTGGCATTACTAACAACTTTAGCGCCTACTTCAAACCGTCTTAAGATTGATTATTATAACTCTTTCGCATTACACGTTTACGGTATGATCTATGCATTTGTGATGCAAGAAAGAGACCTAAAAAGAAGTAAAAAGTATAAAGATAGAGCATTATTATTTGCAAAGCAATTTATTCATTGGTTTAGTGATGATGGGGCTTGTATTCCATTTGGTAGATCCTGTACTTATAGATGTGCAGTCGATGATTTCTGGGACATGTTGGCTTGTGTCATAAAAGCCGATGAAGAGCCTATAATTCCATGGGGTGTATTAAAAGGAATTTATTTAAGAAATTTGCGTTGGTGGTCCAAACAACCGGTATCTTTCTTTAGAACAAACATTCTATCTGTTGGTTTCAGTTACCCCAATCAATTTATGTGCGAAAACTATAATTCACCACAGTCTCCATATTGGTGTCTTAAAGCATTTGCATCACTAAACTTGCCGGAATCTCACCCTTTCTGGTCTACTAAGGAGAAGTCACTAACTTTAGACAATACCTCTCTAAAAGTTCCAGGTATGCGAATGTCACACAATAAAGGTAACACAATGGCTTTAATCAGTGGTCCATATCAGCTATTTATGAGACATATAGCTGAGAAGTATTGCTTATAGTACAAGGTACGGGTTCAATGTCGAAAATAATTTGAAGAACTTCTCTTCCGCCTCTTTTGATAATATTATTGGATTTAGTTATGCTGGAAGAGATTTCTTTTCAGAGAATCAGGCAAGTCCTGGATTTTCAAAGATGTATTGTATGCGGAATGGTCCTCTGCTGGTGCAAAGGAAATAGAGATTAAGACCTGGATTCTTCAGAAAGGGAACTATCATATTAGAGTCAATCATGTTTCTAATAACAGCTCAAAGAAGTTGTTTCTCAAGAAGGTGGATTCACGGCTAATACAATGCATGATAATACTGTCAATACTTTTTTATCAGAGCAAGAAAATTCACTGGCCGAAATTACAACTTCAAATCATGTTACTTTGATTTATGATTTACTAGATGCCAGAAAAGGAAGAGTTGTAAATCAGAACCAAACAGTAACTTAGTCTCATCGTAAGATATAGTTCCTCAATTAAAGGGAACAATAGCTGCCAAGACATCAGCAAAGTTCGCATGTGCTGTTTATGCTCAACCTAATAGTACATCTTTTGATAGAGATAAATTCTTAGCTGGTTTAAGTGTTAAAGATGAAAATGAGTTAGAAAATTTAAAGTCTCAAGCCGAAAGATTAAGTGTAATATTCCCGGTAAAGGTGATGATATAAAGATGCAACAAATTTATAAGATGCTTAAAATGTTTTGAATACCGGAGTATTCAATAGATAGTTTTATAATTTTAATTATTTATTAATATCATTGCATATGCAAGTGACTAGTGACTAAGTAATTACATGTATTAATGGTTTCTAAATACACCTATGTGGGATAGAAAAAAACAAAGAAATACTAATCCTTGCCCCTTACACACCTTCTCAGGATTTTCGAACAGATAATATAGTTGTAACTTTTGATTCTTGAGTTTTGCAGTTGTAACAATGAAGGGTTATTAATAAATAGGATAAAAGCCTATTGGGTTGACCCGCCAAGTGGTCGATCATTCACATTTCAAAAATCTGATACCTGAACAAGAGTATTTCAATCTTTTTCTTTTAAAATAAAAATTATGTGTGGAGCAGTCTCGTTTCTACCCAATTGTAAGGTGATTATAAAGCGATATTTATTATAAACAATTGAATGAGAATAAATAAACCAGTTATAAGAGTATTTGAATTGAGATGTATAAAAATAGGATAGTTTTTTGATTGTGATTTAGTTAGTATATTGATATTTATGAGGAATTTGTATATAAAAGAGGGTATTAATGATTATTGAATTGGGTGATATAAAAGGATGCGATAAGGAAAATATGTTATAAGGGATTATATTATTATGGTGTGGTGAATATGAATGAGGAGATGATTAGTTTGAATATGACGTATGAATGAGAGTAATGTTAATTGAGATTAGAATTTGAATGGAATTGTGAAATAGTTACGTAGTCAACACCTCAAATTTGACCCGCCCCAACTCCTCCCCCGCACTGCTCCATACTACTCAACATAATTATCCGAGAAACAGCTGCATTTTTAAGCAATAATTCCAAAAGAGGCATATTATCCGGGTCTAATTAATAGGGGTAATTATCGTCTTCAAAAGTTCTACGAGTCAGAAGCCTTAAACGAAGAGATGATGTAATTGTAAACAACGAAATCTGGCGGGGATTTTGAGCCAAACAAGAAGGCATTGATGTTGCATAAACCTTCAATGGAATAATTGAATGGAGGACTTTATATATCCAATGTTTATGTTACATTTTAATGTGACTATTCAAGGGTAAAACTTTTCCAATAAGATGTGGTTTGATTTATATGTAAGTTAAACCCGATATTGGTTATTGTTACGAATTGAATTGACATTTCTGGAAATCCTCCCGAGGACTCCTATGGATGAATTTCAACCATATTCCTTCATCCATACCGTCAAAATTAAGTTTGCATTTTCAATAAAAACATTCCTATATGTATAAATAAGGACCAATTCCACTCAATACTTATCAAAGATATTGTCATATTTTAAAGGCATTTACAATGAAGTATTTTGACATAACATTGCTTGTAGCTCTTGCAGCTCTTAATAATGCTGCACCCTCGCAAAAGTTTAATGATACAATGAATTCTGATAAAGATTATTTAATCTTTGGAACCTCTGATCAATATTCAATAAGTCCTCCATTTTATCCATCTCCATTAGGAGGTAGAATTGAAAATGTTTGGCAAGACGCATATAATGAAGCGAAGGCTATTGTTGAAACACTTGATGTTGCTGAAAAAGTGAATATTACTACTGGTATCGGTATGTCTTGGAGCCGTTGTGGTGGAACCACTGGTTCTCTCAAAGGAGATGGTCTTGAATTTGCTGAAGGACTCTGCGGAAATGATGGTCCATTAGGTGTGAGAGGTGCCGATTTTGACACTGCTTACCCAGCTGCTTTAACTGTTGCGTCATCATTCAATAAACAGCTAATTTATGATCGAGCTGATGCAATTGGCTACGAATTCAAATCAAAAGGTGTTGATTTTTTCTTGGGACCTGTTAGTGGCCCAATTGGGTATAAAGCCCTTGCTGGTAGAGGTTGGGAAGGCTTCGGAGCTGATCCATATTTACAAGGTGAAGCAATGAAATATACTGTCGAGGGAATTCAAAAAAATAATGTCGTTGCGGTTAGTAAGCATTTTATTGGAAACGAGCAAGATACTTATCGTTTTGAATTGGAATTGAAAGAAGATGGGTCTAATACTACAGCCGCTATTTCGTCTAACATTGATGACAGAAGCATGCATGAAATCTACCTTTGGCCGTTCGCCGAAGCAGTAAAAGCAGGCACTGGTTCCATTATGTGTTCATATAACAGAATTAATGGTTCTGCCGGCTGCGCAAACTCTTATACCTTGAACAATTTATTAAAAACAGAGTTAGGCTTTCAAGGTTTCGTTATGAGTGATTGGTATGCTACAAAAAGTGGTGTTTCATCTGCTTTGTCAGGGTTAGATATGAATATGCCTGGAGATAACACCATAGGTGAAGGCTCATACTTTGGTGGTAACCTTACTCAAGCTATTTTAAATGGAACAATTCCTGAAGATAGATTAAATGATATGGCCACAAGAATATTGGCTTCATATTTCGCTGTTGGCTCCAACCACACCGGCCCAAATTTCCATGTTAACAGTAAAAAGACCTATGATTATGAGCATATCAATTCAAAAACTGGAGAAGGCTATGGAAATATAATAATGGTTAATGAGCATGTGGATCCAAGAAATGAATTCACTGATAAAGTAGCTTTTCAAAGTGCAGTAGAAGGTATTGTTTTACTTAAGAATGAAGATAATGCTCTACCATTAAAAAATTATACAAAACTTGCAATTTTAGGTGAGGCAGGGGGAGTTTCACCTAGTGGATTTAATTGCTATTTTGGTAGTTGTATAGGGGGTGCACCACCATCAGGTTATGGTTCTGGTGCTGGTTCACCATCAAAATTTATTTCACCAGCCGAAGCTCTTGGAGCGAGATGTAGAAATGAGAATATTCAATATGATTTCGTAAGTTCAAGTTGGGATTTAAGTGATTCAATGGATAGAGCAGAGCTGGCTGAAGCATCAATAATTTTTGTCGCCTCTATTGCTGGTGAAGCAGTTGTTATTGTTGACGGTAATAATGGTGATAGAAATAATGCATCATTATGGTACAATGCAGATGAATTGATTAAAAATACTACTGCTTATAACAACAATACAATTGTTGTTATCACTACTCCGGGTTCGGTAAATATCGAGTCGTTTGCGGAAAATAAAAATGTTACTGCTATTTTAATGTCTTCTTACTTAGGTCAAGAAGCTGGCTCAGCAGTTACGAGTGTCTTATTTGGTGACTATAACCCATCTGGTAGGATACCATTCACTATTGCGAAAGACGATCTGGAATATGTTCCAGTTATATATAATTCTACTGTGGATGAGCCCCAAGATGATTTTACTCGTTCTATATTTTTGGATTATAGGTATTACGATTACTATAACTTTACTCCAAGGTATGAGTTTGGCTATGGTCTTTCCTATTCTAACTTCACCTTCGGAAATCTCAATATTTCTGAAATTAAAGTGCCCACGAAGGAATTACTGTCAGAACCAGTTTACTTGCCCGCTTATAACTTTAAACATGATAATTTAAACCCAGAAGACTATATATTTCCAGAAGATTTCAACAAACTAGAAGGTTATATTTATCCATATCTTGAAAATACTGAGGTTAACACTACTAAAGATTTCACCTATCCAGAAGGATATTCTACTGAGCAGTTAGCGAAGCCACCTATTGCTGCCGGTAGCTTAGGGGGAAATAAAGAATTATGGGAAGTTGCATATCACGTGGACGCTGTATTAACAAATAATGGTCCGTATGATGGTGCATATGTTGCACAGTTGTACATAGGAATTCCATCTTCAGACAAATTCCCTAACTCCCCACGCCAGTTAAGAGGGTTTGATAAACTTTCATTAGATGTCTGCGAAAGTAAAAATGTTGAATTTGATATTACAAGAAAAGACTTATCAGTTTGGGATGTAGTAACTCAGTCTTGGATTGTACAGCGTGGTAGTTATGCTATTTATGTAGGATCTAGCTCCAGGAATTTAGAATTGGTTGACACAATCAATGTTCCTTAAATAAGCACAACTCGGATTACCAAAGAAAAAATGAGAAATCTGTTTAATGTTTTCTTTATAGACATTATTTAAACACCAACAAGAATATATGCTGTAAGTCTCCAAGCTTCAAGATGTTGCCCGTTTATCAATTGTTGGGTAAACTTGTATTAAAAATCAAACATTGAGTCTTGAAAATAGTAGTAATATGATTTGACCTTATCTTATCCTGTCTTAGGTACTGATGAAAGTCCATTATCTCAATTGAAGCGATTGCATGAAATAAAGTAGCCAGTAACTTCGATATAGATCAAAAACTCTTGCAATAATAATGAAAATGATATTATGGTATAATTATAGGTCAAGTATATTTTATATGCACATTTAGAAGCTCAATTATGATCTATAGATTTAAGTCAAAGTGTAGCCACCGCAGACAACAATATCTGCGCCTCTCATGTAGGACGAAGCATCGCAACATATTAACGAAAGCTATTGGAACCCTGACAGATATTTGTGAAAGCGGAACCTCGACAGTGCGAAGAAAAAAATGGGCCATACAAAATTTCTAACTGTACATTTTAAGACTGGAACCATTCCTTCAATTTATGAAGTAGACCTAGTATTTTAGTATTTCAATGATGTAGAGTATATTCCATGACCATTAGATCTTTTCAGAAGCTATTCTCAAAGTTAAAATTTTAGTTTTCATGTTCTTCAGATTTTTGCAAAACAAAGAGATATCACAGACTGAGAGAAAAATTTTAAAAATAGACAACACAATTAATATCTTCAAGTTATTTCTTTCACTGAGAGTTGGATATTTGCTTTAAAGCTCTCCAACTTATTAAAAAATAGAGGAAGGATGTGTTCTACTGCACGGATTTAGGGTATAGTGTTTTCTATGGTACGAGCGAACTCAACAGGCTTTCGCATCAGCTGCGACGCACGTACGAAGAAGCTGTATGCAATAATAAGTGGAAGAATCAAAATTATATGAGAAGCATGTTTGATTTTACTAGGCTTAACTCAAACGTCTTTGTGTACATTTGTCAGCTATTTTTTTCTGTTCTTTCCGGGTGACAAGATTGCCTCACGTTATGATGAAATAGAAGTATTACTTCGTCTTTTTGATATATATAATTTATTAACTAGTAAATATTTAATTGTATAAAATTTAATGAAAATCTAGTTTTGGTGAATCAATGATGACATGGAATTTCTGACTTTATGCAAAGTTCCTCTGACCGCATTATTTATAGTTTTGAAGTTATTTCAGTAATTTAATCTGGACATGCGCATATCTTACGCGTAATAAGTCATAACACTGTAAAACACAAGAATCCATGTACACATCCTTCAAAAATACTTCAGAACCTCTCCGAAGTCATTTTTTTCAAGTTTCATCACATTTCGAATTGGAGTCAACCTTAGTAGACCCTGGAGTATCATCAGACTCTAAAACCAGTTCGTCAAAAACCATTTCGTCACTGGAATTTGCATGATCATTCCATCTACTTTCATTATTTTCGTTTTTAGCTAAGAGAACATCACGGATTTTATCCTCCCCAGATATGCCATAACCAGTAATTGGGAGAAGCTCGTCAAGAGCTTCAAAGTCTCTTTTTTTCCGCTCTTCACTACTTGGGTGAACAGCTAACCCAAAATCTATCAAAGTGATCCTTCCCGATATCGAAACATGTATGTTGTCGACTCTAATATCATTATGCGAAATTCCCAACAGATGGAGTTCCGCGAGCCTCTCCTTAACTGCTTTATGCACCCTATATTTATCCCATTCAGTAGACGGCATTTCTTCTCCCAAATCTTCAAATATATGCATCGGCTGGCTGGGAATACCATTCCAGTATCCAGAAACTATAAGCTTTGCGAATTTTGCAGCAAAAGACGAATTCGCAAGCATCTCATTAATTTCAAGCTCATTGACGTACATGTCGTAGTAGCTATCTTTATCTGGAAAGTTTTCTTGAGCCTGCTCAGGATAGTTGTACCATTTAACAAAGACCGTGGACGGAAGCAACAATCCCAAATTAGGAAAAGATGCAGCAGGATTATATATAATCCGACAAAATGTGTTACCTCGAATGGAATCAAAGTCAACATCATTGTTTTCTTCTATAGTTATCAATCTTTCTCGAAGTTCACTTCCAGACATCTTACTACGTTTCCGTTTGCGACTTTGTGTGGGTTCTTCCACAAGTCGAGGAAGCACGTTCGCTAATGGATCTGGCCCTTTGGTTTTCTGACTTATTTCTATTAGTCCTGCCAATTTCACTTTTGTACTGAGCGCCTCTCTATTATCCTTATAGAAAAATCCTGCTATCGCAGACCTTAGAGTTATACCATGTTCCACAGTCTCGGGGTCATTAATAACATAGTAGTCTATGATCATTTTTCCACCATCGATAATCTCATATTTGAAAAATCCCGAAAATGACTGATGATCTGAGATAAACACTCTGTCTGTTCCACAGAGAAAGGCTTGATAAAGATATTTTCTTAAAACTAATGCGCATAAAACTCTAGGCGACCATTCTCGATCTTCAAATATGTGCTGATTTCCATGCAGTCTCAATTGTTTCAAGTTCAAACGCTTTCCCCCGAAGTCCGTTATAGCTAATTTCAATTCATGAAGCCCTTTAGTTAAAAAATAGTTTTCTGTCTTATAATCTCCTATCGCAAAGCAAATGTCTGGATTTTGACGAGTTAATGCCTCATCCCAAGACACGTGGACAATATCGGGCTTAAATTTTGGGTTTATCGACAACGGAGGTACGATTGAAGCGTGACCAAAATAGTGGTATTGATCCAAGATGTCACGATAAAGTCTAGCAGTGGTATCTTCTATTTGATGATAAAAATACAATTGGATATCATCTTCCACATGCATGGCATCTCCCAAGGGATAAGTATACCTCTTTGATAGCAAGTCTTCGCTGATATTTGAATTCTTAATAACCTTTTCAAGAGGAGCCAAATACGTATTTTTGAATTCATCATTGCTGATCTCTCTAAATTCTGCCGTAATCATCGCATTTGTAACATAATTTAGAGCCAGCGTCACAGTCGTAGATCCAGTAGAAACTGAAGCATTATGCTTGGATACTATATGTTCCAACGTAGGTAATTGTTGATTCTGTGAGATATTTCTGATTTTCAAGAGGTGAGTGTCTAAAAAAACTCTTATGTTTTGCTCATTGTCCTCCTGAACTCTAGCATATAGTAATGTATCAATCTTCATACACTTATTCGTGGGGTCATGATACGTAATATTGTTACTATCTTCCCCTGAAAAGTACATACATGGCATGATGATATTTTAAGTAATGAGCTGCTGTGATTTCATCCCTTATTTAATGATTTGGGGGTTACCCCGATTTAAGTACTTACTTGATTATGTAATAAACAGTCTTGACGACCAAGTAGTAGAAAGAAAAGGGATCATATACTGCATATGACTTATCTCCTGCACTTGGCGATTGCCCGTGTTTACCACAAGGTCGGGGTGCAATGTCGCGGATACAATGTTACAAATGTTTGTCAAATGTTTGCGCAAATATGAAAAAATATGAAATTTTCAACTTTGATTTTTGCAATCTATCTCTCATATATAACATGGCATCAGATGCTATTTCATTTTTAACATCCAACTTTCTCATAAATTTGACTAAATGGCGAGGGGATACAATCTGAATATGTAGACCCTACAATTTTTCATTGACCCAGTTTTTGGCGCACCAGACCATTCTACAATGGAACAGTAGCTTTCATATATATATAACAAGATATCTTGTTATTTCTATTATAGAGCTTCGGTAGAAGCTGTCGATATAGTATCAAGAATATATTTGAAGACTGTATCTGCAACATCACAACCCCATATATTATCTAAATGTTCATGGCCGAATACTGACTGAACTGTAGTCCTTTCTAAAGGCAATTGTTCTTTTATGATATCAATATTGATTAGTGAATCTAAAGTTCCATAAATAAGATGAATCGGAACTTTAATATTTTTCAAAGGATAGGAAATTGGACTAAAGCCCGTTAAGTTGAATTTTGAATCATGAAACATTTGGAACTTTTTCGAAGAAATTATTTGAATCCAATGGACCACAGTCTTGACAGAAGTTGTCGAATACAAATGGGCATAAGAAGCTAACTTTTGAGTCTTCTTGATATTTTCTGATTTCCAGTTAAATAACATATGGTTAGCTATATCAACTGTGGTGCCAAAAAATGCTGGATACAAGACTTTTTTCCAAAAAATAATGGAGGATATAAACACTTTTCTCGAAAATAATAGGAATAAAATGTTAGGAGACGATTTCAATAGGATATCTATAAATACCGAGTAAAGCCCATGTGGGGTTGTAGCTGGAGATATGGCAATTAGTTTTTCAATTTTTTCATTTAGTCTTGGATTTATCGATATACTGGCAAATGCTTGTGCTGAACCTTGAGAAAATCCAATATATATGAGGCTTTGTTTTCCACTAACCTCTAAGACGTAATCAATAGTACTTGGAATATCGAATAGCGCAAACTCATCGATTGAGAAATCCCAAAACTCATCTGAATCAATTCTAAAGAATAAGTGTTTCTGAGAATACTTGTTGCCTCGGTTATTGCCGAGCCAAACATCGTATCCCAAATCATATAGAACGAATGGTAAATTTGAATTTTTATCTATCATGCTAACCCAAATTTCACTATCTTGCAATAAGCCGTGATGAAAATAAACAACTTTGCCAATACTTTTTCTCTCGCGAACACCATCTAGTTTAACGATTCTTTGAGCTGTTAAGATGTAATTATCTCTCGTTTTAATAATATGACTTTCAATATCATAACCAAATAATAAGCACATTTCTTGAATATTCCGACACTTTACTAGGTCATTCATTAAAGTATACTCTTCGGGATTAGATTTAAATTTGATATTGTAATTCATATGATATTTAATTTCTTCAAACACCTCACGCAATTTAGTTACTGATATTAGGGAAAAAAAAGAACTAGCCAAACGAACTATCTTATTATTAACTAGATCAATAAAGAATACTATTGGTAACGGGACAATAGTTGTTAATAAAGATTTTAAAAGCCCAAGCCAAGCAAAACCTAAGGACATGAAAATTACAAACCATTCTCTAATGGATAAGCGTCCTAAAATTGGAATACCCATAGCTATGTAATGAGTAGTATGAATTTTTTTTTCAAATATCTAATTTATTTGATAAGTAGTTATAGTTGCTCGCACAAATTCTGCATATGATAAACAAACTGCAGTGCACAAATCCTACCTCGTATATTCTCTTGTTCTAGGACAAGCTGAGGTCTCTTTTTGTGTATGGAAAAATGCGCTTATGCTAATAATAAGCATTATTATTAAAATAATCCTCAATCCTTCAGTTCTTAATTTGATCGATATTGGAAGACAGAAAATGAAATAAAATAAGACCATTGAATATTTGAAGGTCGTTAGACGGCAAACCATACTTTATCTAGTGGTTTTTCGATTGCTATCAATATTATAATCATAAGAATTACAATTATAAGTATATTGCTTATTATGGAGTAAATGATTAGACAGAGATATTAGTATAACGTTTCATCATCCATTCTTTTACAATAGGACAGTAAAGATGTTTTTAAAGCATCAATTTCTTGCGTCCACTGAGACAACAGTAAAGTTCTTTTGTTGGCTGTTGTGCATGCACTTTTTGCATGGTTCACTTTCTCTCGTACGAGAGCACCTTATTTTATTACCGTGACAATAAGAACATGCCTTGATGATCTTGGGCATTACTTATGCTCAGCAAAGAGTTTGTGGGGTTTGTATTATGCATCGGTGATATAAACAAGAATTGGTATAAGAGGCATCGCCCTTACTGATATAGATGCATCTCCTGGGATATAATCAAAGATTATAAGAATAACATTTGCTTATAGATATATTATAAACATATTAAACTTGGACAACTTTACGTTTGTCATTTAGCCCGATTATTAATTTCCTTGAGGATATCAAAGGTCAAGATGAGTGATATGCAGGAGCTCGTGGTGGAAAGACCCCAAAAAGGAGAACGAATATTATATGAAGTGCGATATAATTGTCCTTCAGCTTTAACAAGTCAAGGAAGCAAATAGTTTGTGGAATTCTTTGACTCGCAAAGTATATCAGGCGATTGGATTTAGACCAGGTACAGTTCTAGAATAGGTCGGTTCGGGGGTCAATTATTTTGAAAATACTCGAAGGATTAGGCAACGGCTCCAAAGAATCGCCACAACGACCGAGCGATTTAATGTTACCCGCACTACCTAACATTTTTGCCAGGTTTTAAATTAACATCCCTAATTGAAATCAACAAGATGAATTACTAGACTACAAGCAAATAATGGACGTAATTAAAACGCAGAACAGAAATTTTTCAGAAGGCCCATCGAAGTCATTGGTTGGAGTCTTCTTGGGAGGAACGAATGGGATTGGTGAGGCAGCAATGTTGGGATTCGTTAAAGCAGTAGCTGAACCAGTAATATTTTTTAGTGGTAGGTCTGGTAAGGATGAAGTAAAAACTAACATTATAGATGAGAAAATCAAAAAAATAAATCCTAAAGCTGAAGTTTTTTACTTTCAGCATGATCTAACTTTGCTAAATGAAGTAGTCAAACTTTCTAATGAAATTAAAAATAGCAAGATAAAGAAAGTCAATTACCTTCATTTATCACAAGGATATTTAGGCGCCAAACTTGACTTAACTAGCGAAGGCTTGGATAAGAGGATGGTATTGTATTATTATGGCCGGTTTAAGATGACTTATAATCTCATACCTTTGTTGCAGAATGGATATGATCAAGATCAAATTGCTTCAGTAATTAATGTATTAGGTGCGGGGAATGAAGGTTTCAAATACCCTGAAGATATTGGATTAGATGAACCAGAGCATTTCGGATTCATGTCGTCCAACTCACATTCTATTACTTTAAACTCATTGGCCACCCTTAAATTTGCAAATATTCATCCAGATATTAGATTTAATCATATAAACCCAGGACTTGTAAACTCTGGAAGCAAGCCATACCTTCCATGGTATACAAGGTATTTGGTGGAGTTCGCACTTCACTTCTTTGGTATCACTATAAGTGATATCTCAGAAAGACTTGTCAATATTGCCTTGCTCAAGAAAACATCCTCTAATGGTCAGTTGATTGACATTAAAGAACAACCTGTGTCTACTAAAAATATTGAAAACCAGACTTTATCGAAGAAAGCACAAGAACAAGCCTGGCATTTTACTTTAAATAAGATTTCTGCGGTGACAAATTTACAATAGAAGCTGCGTGCCCAAACACAAGATATATATGAAGATTGTCCGCGCTCCAAAAAGAAGCGCCGCTCAAAAAGTGTAAACTATTTTTCACTATGAAGCATCCGCAAAATTTCACTCGATTCGTTGTTCACGATATTTTCTTGTCCGATAAACGGGGAGGACCTTCATCATCTGTCCATGCTTAAAAAATAGAGTCGTTCTATCTTATAAAATTTGGCCAAGGTCCATATATTTCATTAAGGTATATGTTTTTGTCTCTATTTTTAAAATCATTTCGAATATTTGCTCATCTTTATTGGATTTCAATTCTCTCAAAACTCGCGACTACTTCATATATTGTAGACTCGATCCAGACATGGGTACTATCATTTGAAAAAGCCCAAATTATCGACGATATACTGCTATTCTATTATGACATGTACAAAGCTTCATTTATAAATACACCCCCATCTTAAATATGCTCCATTCAATGTCATCGTCTTAATTATACCGCGAAAAAGACGACATCAAGCCGCCCACGTCAATGACAACCATCGAAGGTCCGCATACATATCTCCGGCATGAGGACAGGTTCCTCCGCACAATCAACGCCAATCTATATTATGGAAAGAGATACCCGCATTACCTATGCAGCGAAAACAAGGAAGAAAGCATACCGGTGTTTAAGGCTGTCAAGGAGTATATTCTCCAGGACAGGCCGCATTTGAAAGGCACGCATCCCATTTACAACCGGATGTTCCGAGAGGGCATATTGAAGGTGCTGGTTCTCCATAGGACACATGTGATATATGAAAACTACGCCTGTCGCTTTTCTACACGTTTTCCAAGTTATTCGGTAACCGAATTATCGAGGAAGTAGTAACTAATCCCACCGACGAAGTGGTGAAGCGAGCAGCGATGGAGACAATCGAGAGGTATATTGTGGTGGAATAAATCAGAACAGAAAACTTATGAGGGCCGTGATTATCTTGTTGATGCTTCCTGATGACAGGTTTGCGCAGTCGAACCTGCGAGCCAAAATTCTCGATGGCATCAATTATTTCTTAAGTTGGCAATAGCAGACTATATGTGGATGGGAAACGACACCAAAGAGATTATCAAAACTGGAAGAATTTAGCTTACCAGGCATTTGAGTCCACTCGTCTTACAACCATAAATTCAATAAAAAATGGACGTTGCCGGGTTTCCAGACGATAGTCGACCAGCAGAATACCTGAAAGATGCTGATCGGCTAAGTCAGGTTCAGTACGACCGATCTTGGCAAGTTGGTTAGATGCTTGGTCCGAGAGTACCATAACGCCGTTCGTAACTTGCCATCAGACGGGATGTTGATGGTGGACGAGCTATATGAAGAGCACCCAAAAGATGTGTTCAGCTGCACGGATTTAGGGTATAGTGTTTTCTATGGTACGAGCGAACTCAACAGGCTTTCGCATCAGCTGCGACGCACGTACGAAGAAGCTGTATGCAATAATAAGTGGAAGAATCAAAATTATATGAGAAGCATGTTTGATTTTACTAGGCTTAACTCAAACGTCTTTGTGTACATTTGTCAGCTATTTTTTTCTGTTCTTTCCGGGTGACAAGATTGCCTCACGTTATGATGAAATAGAAGTATTACTTCGTCTTTTTGATATATATAATTTATTAACTAGTAAATATTTAATTGTATAAAATTTAATGAAAATCTAGTTTTGGTGAATCAATGATGACATGGAATTTCTGACTTTATGCAAAGTTCCTCTGACCGCATTATTTATAGTTTTGAAGTTATTTCAGTAATTTAATCTGGACATGCGCATATCTTACGCGTAATAAGTCATAACACTGTAAAACACAAGAATCCATGTACACATCCTTCAAAAATACTTCAGAACCTCTCCGAAGTCATTTTTTTCAAGTTTCATCACATTTCGAATTGGAGTCAACCTTAGTAGACCCTGGAGTATCATCAGACTCTAAAACCAGTTCGTCAAAAACCATTTCGTCACTGGAATTTGCATGATCATTCCATCTACTTTCATTATTTTCGTTTTTAGCTAAGAGAACATCACGGATTTTATCCTCCCCAGATATGCCATAACCAGTAATTGGGAGAAGCTCGTCAAGAGCTTCAAAGTCTCTTTTTTTCCGCTCTTCACTACTTGGGTGAACAGCTAACCCAAAATCTATCAAAGTGATCCTTCCCGATATCGAAACATGTATGTTGTCGACTCTAATATCATTATGCGAAATTCCCAACAGATGGAGTTCCGCGAGCCTCTCCTTAACTGCTTTATGCACCCTATATTTATCCCATTCAGTAGACGGCATTTCTTCTCCCAAATCTTCAAATATATGCATCGGCTGGCTGGGAATACCATTCCAGTATCCAGAAACTATAAGCTTTGCGAATTTTGCAGCAAAAGACGAATTCGCAAGCATCTCATTAATTTCAAGCTCATTGACGTACATGTCGTAGTAGCTATCTTTATCTGGAAAGTTTTCTTGAGCCTGCTCAGGATAGTTGTACCATTTAACAAAGACCGTGGACGGAAGCAACAATCCCAAATTAGGAAAAGATGCAGCAGGATTATATATAATCCGACAAAATGTGTTACCTCGAATGGAATCAAAGTCAACATCATTGTTTTCTTCTATAGTTATCAATCTTTCTCGAAGTTCACTTCCAGACATCTTACTACGTTTCCGTTTGCGACTTTGTGTGGGTTCTTCCACAAGTCGAGGAAGCACGTTCGCTAATGGATCTGGCCCTTTGGTTTTCTGACTTATTTCTATTAGTCCTGCCAATTTCACTTTTGTACTGAGCGCCTCTCTATTATCCTTATAGAAAAATCCTGCTATCGCAGACCTTAGAGTTATACCATGTTCCACAGTCTCGGGGTCATTAATAACATAGTAGTCTATGATCATTTTTCCACCATCGATAATCTCATATTTGAAAAATCCCGAAAATGACTGATGATCTGAGATAAACACTCTGTCTGTTCCACAGAGAAAGGCTTGATAAAGATATTTTCTTAAAACTAATGCGCATAAAACTCTAGGCGACCATTCTCGATCTTCAAATATGTGCTGATTTCCATGCAGTCTCAATTGTTTCAAGTTCAAACGCTTTCCCCCGAAGTCCGTTATAGCTAATTTCAATTCATGAAGCCCTTTAGTTAAAAAATAGTTTTCTGTCTTATAATCTCCTATCGCAAAGCAAATGTCTGGATTTTGACGAGTTAATGCCTCATCCCAAGACACGTGGACAATATCGGGCTTAAATTTTGGGTTTATCGACAACGGAGGTGTGATACTTGATGCGTAACCAAAATGGTGGTATTCATCCAGTATGTCACGATAAAAACGCTTGATTGAACTAGCTATTTCTTCATTAAAGTACATCTGAATATCATCTTCCACATGCGTGGCATCTCCCAAAGGATAGGCATACCTCCTTGATAGCAAGTCTTCGCTGAGGTTTGAATCCTTAATAACCTTATCAAGAGGAGCCAAATATATATTTTTGAATTCATCGCAGCTGATCTCTCTAAATTCTGCCGTCATCATCGCTTTCGTAACATAATTTAGGGCCAGCATCACAGTCGTGGATCCAGTGGAAATTGAAGCATTATGCTTGGATACTATATGTTCCAACGTAGGTAATTTTTGATTATGTGGGACATTTCTGATTTTTAAGAGGTGAGTGTCTAAAAAGACTCTTATGTTTTGTTCATTGTCATCTTGAACCCTAGCATATAATAATGGATTAATCCTAATGCATTTATTTGCGGGGTCATTATACGTAATATTGTTACTATCTTCCCCTGAAAAGTACATACATGGCATGATAATATGTTAAGTATGAGCTGCTGTGGTTGTAATTCCATCCCTTATTTATTGATCTGGGGTTACCCGATTTAAGTGACTTCACTTGATTATATAATAAACCGTCTTGAACGAATTGTTAAGTGTTACGAAGAAAAATAATTATGAGCTGATGTACTGCATATGATTTATCGCCTGCATTTGGAAATGGAAAAACGCGCAATCTCCAAGTGTTGGCGATAACAGAATTCACAAGGTTACCCGATAGAAAAAAACTAATATTTTGAAACAACTAGACTACAAGAAGCTCTGCTTTTTTGTAGCATAAGGTTCTTCTAACAGAGAAACTTCGCTCTCAGTCAATTCGAAACTCAATGCTTTGACAATATCATCTACTCTTTGCAAAGAATTAATTACAACTATTGAGTTAGCCCCTTTTACTTACCTTGTATTTTTCTGCGAGTTTTTGAACTTTGTTACCAACCTCCTTATACGTATCACTTGGTTTGTCTAATCCCATTTGTTTATAAATTGGCTCCGTAATCAGCCTTTTAGTTCCCTCAGAAGACAATGGGCGTGCAAGGAAACCAGCAATGACCAAGAAATTACTTGAGCTTTCCCAAAATCATTCTCTTTACAGAAAGAAATCATTTCACGTTCTTCCTCACGGTATATAAGATTGTAAAAATTCTGCATACTAATGAACTTTGTCCAGCCATTCTGTTCAGCAACAAATTGAAATTCTCCAAATACGAATGCTTTTCATCGAACCTAAATATCTTACTTGTCCCGATTTGACCACATTCTTCATGTTTCCATAATATCTTTCTTGGGTACTGCGATCTAACTATGAATTTGATACACCTCAATTTAAGTCCCCCAGTTCTGTTCTGAACAGAATGTTCAACAGCGTCAAAGATATCTTTCCTAGACAATCCTTAAGAGTTCCATAGTTAATTTTAGGGTATCCATCACTGCCTAATTTGAATGTGTTAAAAGCAGCGTCATTATAGTCAATAGGAAAATTAAATTTTGTCAAAATAATAATTCTCTCCCTTAAAATATTGTATTTGTTGATAAATTTACCAACGCCATCCACTAGTTCATACCTAAAGAATCCTGAAAATCTTTGATGCTCTGAAATAAGAATCCTATCTGTTCCAAAGAGGAAAGATTGGTAGATATATTTGCTTAGAACCAAAGCAAATAGTACTCTAGGTGACCACTCCCTACCTGAAAAGAAATTCCCAATTGAATGCAGCCTCAATATTCTTCGGTTCAGAATAGCTGTTTTGAATTCTTCAAAGCCTTGCGTCATTTTATATATTCCCCTTTTGTAATCACCTATCCCAAAAACAACTTCCGAATATTGTGTATTCAAATTCGACCTAGTTAGCATATGAATTATATTAGGTTGTATCATTCTTTTTTGATCTAATGGGGTCCTTATAAACGATACATAGCCATTTTCTCTACCACCAAAATCTTGAAAAAGTCCCTGATCGGAATTGCTATTTCATTAAAGTAGCTTTGAATAGCTTGTTCCACACGCACATCTCCCAATGGGTAATTATATTCTTGTACTAAAGGTCGGCTCCGAATGTCCGATTTTCTTAGAGCACTATCAAGGGGAGCAAGATACCTATCCTTGAAGTCATCACTATCCATCGCCCTGAATTCTGCAGTAATCAATGCTCGACTAATATACACAAGAATGGGCGTAGAAGGCATATTCCCTAGATCCACAGATGCATTATTCTTGGACACTAGTTTCTCTGTAGGGTCTTCTTGTCGATTTTCATTACCCCGAATCTTTTGCAAGTGAGTATCCAAAGAGACTCTTGTATTTAGTTCCTGTTATTGAGAACTCTAATAAATAGTTCAGGATTCATTGTAATGTACTGGTTGCTAGGATCATCGATAGTGATAGTATCACTACCTACCCCAGAAAAGTACATTCGTGGCATAATGTTATAGATATTCAATAAGGTGTTTATTGTTGATCCCTTGATCTTTGATTGGATTACCCTTCCTTGTATATTTACTTACGTAATTTCAAGAACCATTACATAATGAAATGTCTTGATTCCAAAGTCCCAAATTATCAACAACAGTGAAATATCGCATTAAAATATCAGACATACCTATCCGGGCTCGTATTCATATAAAGGATCTCCTCTTTCATCAGCATCATCGCAGTATTTTACATCCATACACCACTTCTATCATCTTTTCTATTTCCACTATCTCCTTCAAATGAAATTGACATAATAGAACTCTGCATAAAGTCGCCTATTGAGTCTAGTTATTATTTTAAGTCCCTTAAATCCGCTATATGCGATAATTTCTAAGTATAAAGTATCCCTCTAAATCATGATTTAAATAAAGGATTTAATTGAAAACAGAAGAATTATAAAAAACTCAAAAGGGAAATGAGCAAAGTAGAATATCAGAAACTAGGTGCCTCAGGCTTATCTATTTCCCCTATTATCATAGGTTGTATGACATTTGGAAAACATCTCAATTGGGGTATTGATGAAGAAGAATCTGTTATGGAAATATTGAAAAAGTGTTATGACAATGGTTTAAGAACGTTTGACACCGCTGATGTTTATGCGAACGGTGCATCCGAAATTCTTTTAGGTAAGTTTATCAAGAAGTACAATATACCAAGGGAAAGAATTGTTATTTTGACGAAAGTTTGGGGTACGATGGACTATAACGATCCGGAGTTTAACATGCACGAATTGGGAAGTAATAAATATCCTGAAATCAACTACGTCAATTCTAAAGGATTGTCCAGGAAACATATCCTTAATGCTGTTGAACATTCCGTCAAGAATTTGGGGACTTATATTGACGTCTACCAAATTCACAGATTAGATCGTAGTACCCCAAAGGATGAGATTATGAAAGCTTTACATGATGTGGTTGAAGGAGGAAATGTAAGATATTTAGGAGCATCTTCAATGAAAGCTGTTGAATTCGCACAATTGCAATTTGTTGCTGAAAAAAATGGCTGGACAAAGTTTATTAGTATGCAGAATTATTACAACCTTTTATATCGTGAAGAAGAAAGAGAAATGATTCCTTTTTGTAAAGAGAATGACTTCGGGAAGGTTTCAATAATTCCCTGGTCGCCTATTGCGATGGGTCTTCTCGCACGTCCCTTGTCTTCTGATGGAACTGAAAGACTGACTAAGGACCAAATATTTGCTCAAATGGGTTTGACTAAGCCAACTGATGCAGATAAAGAGATCATATACAGGGTTCAAATGATCGCCGAGAAATACGAAGTAAGCATGGCCGCAGTAGCTACAAAATGGGTTTTAAGTAAGGGCGCAAGCCCAATAGTTGGAGTTAATTCTATGGAAAGAGTAGATGATTTTGTGAAAGCATTGAATTTCGAATTGGCCGAGAGTGAAATTGCACTCTTAGAAGAACCTTATGTTGCAAAGGCGACACTTGCTATGTGGTGAATGAATAATAGATAATAAGTTGCAAAATAACTACGGCAAGAAACGCAAAAAAATTGAAAGCCGACATTGTTTAGGAGCTCATGATATCGTAGCTTTCATCACTAAGAAAAATTTATGTACATGTGTGTAAAGAAAATGTAATAAATTGCAAATATAAGCATCTATTAAATCTATAAATCGAAATCAAAAAACTTAAGAACAATTAACAACCAAAGTATTTGTAAATCATTTGTAAGTTCATTCTTGAAAGGAAAAAATTGATAGCCTCAGGTAAGGCCTATATCCGTCCTAAAGAGAGACATTTTGAGAAAAGCATTTTCTCAAAACTAAAGGTCAGACCACAATGGGCGGCAACTATTGATCCAATAAAGTACGAGTAGGGATACCTCTTGGCAGAGGCAGCATTCAAGGTGGAATAGACTGTCGTCTGAACCAGAACCCTTGAACATATAAAGGTTTATTGTACTTACCGCTGTTAGTAAATTTAATAATGGTATGGGTTATTTAATTACAATTATTAGTCTTCCTCAGAATAAGACAAATGTAGCTATCTTTATATTAAATTAAAATATAAAGATAACTCGACTGACTGTAATTATTTTAAATACTTGCATCTTTACAGATGGTCTCTATTTTGAGTTTAATCAGATAGCAATGGAATTAATGGTATGGAAGTCAAAGCCTAGATACTTCAGAGCTTATAGTTTATCGTGTTTATAATGCTAGTTCATTAAACATTAATTTCTTTCTGCAGTACCTAATATAATAGTGACTGAAGCCTTTGTATACGTTTGTTATATAATATATATATTACAATCTCTAGAAACTTCTGGGGAGCGTTAGTATCTCCTTTTCTACACTTAATATCTCAATTTTCACGACACAAACAATTTCAAACTTTATTACACAACACTAATTATATAAACCAAGTTCTAATAATTTGTTTCCAATCATTAAAAAATAGTAGTCCGCATACACTAAACCATGATCAAATATTCTCCATTCGTCTACGACTGCAGGATTATTAATCATTGTCGACTTCGCAAGAATTGTATCAGTAGATCCAAGTTCAACCGTACCATCATCTTTCAAAATATCTTTCTTGTTATAAGCCAAATTAATACAATCTCTCACAAGCTTTAAAGCACTGTTTAAAATTTCTTCGTCTTTGATGCATTCGTAAATTTTAAGCATACCAAAAGCAGCAGCCATCCCAGAAGATACATCTCGAATTTGTTTGTCAGGTGCATGGAAATCCCATGGTGGTACACCATCTTCTGGCAATTGTGATAAGTAATATTTTGTAATATTCAATGCAACATCTAAAAATTTTTTATCCTTGGTATACATGTAGGCTTCTGTGAATCCTAATATACCCCAAGCTTGACCCCTAGTCCAAGATGACTCATCGGCATAACCTTGGAAAGTAAACTTATCTTTAGCTTTTCCAGATTCCCTATCATACATTACAACGTGGTAAGATGACCATTCTTCTCTGAAGTGATTCTTTAAAGTAGTTTCAGCATGAGTAGTGGCAATATCTGACAAGCGAGAATCGCCACTCAATTCTGCTCCCAAGTATAGAAGATTCAAATTACACATATTATCAATGATAACCACCAAATCTTTATCAAAATTTGAAGTTCTATTATTGCTTTCCTTTATAGGTACAAGCTCATCCCAGCTCCTAATGCAACCAACTCTTTCATCGAATCTAGAAGCCAAAGAATTTGCTCCCTTGATTAGAATATCCTTAGACTTCTCACTTCCACTGCGCAAATATTCTTTTTCAAAAGGTGGAACAAGCATAAACCCCAAGTCATGATTGTCAGTCTTATTCTTGTGTTTAGCCATACTTTCAGCCCACCATTTTGCTGCATATTCCAATTTGACCGGGTTGATTTTTTTACTTGGAAAGTATGCAGGATACTTCTCGCACCTCTCTAATAAGGTGTAAATTGAACCTGGAAAAAATCCTGAGGTCCACCAATCTGAGTCTCTATAGGTGTATCTACTTCCTTTAGATTGATCTGGGAATTTAGTTGGTGGTTGTGACTCCCCTAATGCTGGATACGCAACACCCCAAATTTTGGCAACTGTAGCATCACAGTATAAACCATCTTTTATTTCATCTAAGTAAGCTTCTCTAGTCATATTTTTTAATTGTGTTTTATTAATGTCAATTGATATCCATGATTTTATACTTATTTGGGTTATTAATGGCTTGTGTATTCCTTAAGTACACTTTTACTTGAGATGCTTGTTGAGATGCAAATTCTCCACCTCCCCCCCCTCATAAATATTTCTAATCGTTCTTAGTGGCAGAGAGTGGGGGTAACTTTATATAATCATAAAATTCATGTTATATGATAACGGATAGACTGTATAGCCGCATATATGCGTGAGACTGGCGATTTAGTAGACCGAAAAATCGATGGGGGATGCTCGGTTCGGAGAGCTTTTTCGTGTCATCCCGAACTGCCTATCTAGGAAAATTGTGGCGAGTTCGGGTGACACCACCTAAAATGCAATAACAAATAAATTGAGATATTAATGGTAAAATCAATATTAGGAACCATAATAATGCAATCGTGACGATGAAAAGGTGGAATAAAGGTTTATCAAAATTGCGCTTTCGTCTTGCATGTAATACATGAAATAAGACTTACAAAAACGTCGATTTGGCGCATAAAGGGGACGTATATCTGACTTATATAAAATGGTATATATCTACTAGAACTACTTACGCTCCATTTGTTTTTTCGTATTTGTACAAATACCTAACTTTTGTTTTCTAATAATTTGAGTAAGAAATGCAAAATTTTTCAAATCGTATTCTTAGCTCTTTATAATCTACATTCTCCACTTTATAATAGTTCCTATTAATAAGTTGCTTCACATCTTCATATGTTTATAAATTCGTTTTAACAAAATTCATAAGAATGTATTATTTTAGCTAATATATATAAACTTAAAAATCAGAAGGTTATAAAATTTTATATTTATAGGCCTATATTGGCCAGTATATAGATTCAACCTTCGAAGCATCAATTTATGTACCAGAAGAATACTTATTCTTAAGCGAATTTATTAGTTGGTTTGTGACAAATCAATTATCCTTACTTATGACCACTAATAATGAATAACAAGATAATCAATTCTAAACTAAATTATTCTTCTTTTTTCCATCATGCATTTGTGAGGAAACTTCTTCCACAAAACTCCGATCATCATTCAATATATCTTTGCTTGGCTTCTCATTCATAGCCGCATAGTCAGCCGTCATTTTAATATCAGTAATATTATCCCCAAAGATCTGTGCCACTTCTTCCAATCCTAATCCGTACGTTTCTGGAAAAAAGAAGTAAACCACACAAGCTTGTACAAATATCCAAACACAAAATACAATATAATACCTCCATGAAATAGCATCCATTGCGATGTTATTTACATAGTTGTTGTACAAGACCCACCCCAGATTTGTCACATTATATATCAATGCGGCCTTACTTCTCAATGTACAAGGTACAATTTCCATAACGTATGTATTACCTATTGGGGATATCAGATGATAAAATCCGTAAAATAAATAGATTATTGCAATGATACCTCTCCCCATTGCCTTATTCTCAAAATTGGTTCTCTCATTTATAGAGGCCAAAATGATCCAAATAATGAACATAAGACACATTAACAAAAGACCACTGATTAATAGCTTCCTGCGTTTCATTCTTCCAGAATACGTTGCAAAACCAACCCCCCACACACCACCATAAACAGTCAAACCAATATTTATTTTCAACTTATCAGCCGGTTCAGTATACCCAATATCTTCAAGAACAATCGAGAAATAATATGCAAGAAGCGATGAGCCGCACATTTGTAATATTGTTGATGTCGCAATCGTAAGAAATAATCTATGCAAATAAGCTTTTGATGAAAACCATAATCCCCACGAAAAGTGCAAACCAAGTTGCTCTTTAGCAATTGCAGAATTTTTGAATTAAGAATGGGACGTACAAGTATTAGTTACAGACATTCACCCCACTACCAAACAAAGCTAGACTATATTTTTTATCGAAATATTATCTCCTCCATCCATACCCCACTAATTTGATTTATAATATATGCTCGACATGAGTAAATAATAATTCAGGATACTTGATGGGATATAAGTTTGATATGATTTCTGATGGTCTTTGATATACTGTTTTCTAGATTAAATTTATCACCATAATTGAGTCATGAACAGAAACTCAAACAATTTTAACGCGTGGGCGACAAATCCACTTAAAACAAGAAAAGATGTAGCTCAAGCGCTTGAACAGCAGATAGAACCCTTGATTCCAGCATTTACCGAAGGAGGTGCAAGATTCAGTTTGGCAGATACATCAGCTGTTTCTGATATGGAACCTGCAGAGTTAGAAGGATTTGCTAGACCATTGTGGGGTATTGTACCTTTCGTCTATGGTTGAGGTGAATTTAAACATTGGGATTTATTTAGGAGAGGTTTGTCGAATGGAACAAATCCAAATCATCCAGAATTTTGGGGAGATGCTACTGATATCGACCAACGTACAATTGAATTGGCTGCCATTGGCTTTGCGTTATGTCTTGTCCCAGAACATATTTGGAACCCATTACTGGACGAATCTAAAGAAAATGTATCCAAGTTCTTACTTCATGCAAGGGAAAGAGAATTTCTTCACTCTAACTTTAAGTTCTTCAAAGTAATGATTGATTTGGGTTTGGATAAAATGGTGTGGCATTTGACAAAACCTCAACTGAAGCCATCATGGCCGATTTAGATATTATGTATATTGATGAAGCATGGTATGGAGATGGCGCTAATCACAGAGTTGACAATTATAACCCATTTGCTTTACACTTTTATGGAATGATCTATTACTTTGTAATGCATGAGAGAGATCCAGAAAGAAGCAATAAATATAAGGAAAGAGCATTTTTGTTTGCAAAACAATTTATGCATTGGTTTAGTGATGATGGCGCATGTATTCCATTTGGTAGGTCTTGTGTATATAGATTTGCTATTGATGGATTCTGGGCTATGCTAGCTTGTGTAACTAAAATCGATGAAACCCCAGTTATTCCATGGGGTTTGATGAAAGGAATATACCTAAGGAATTTACGTTGGTGGTCCAAGCAGCCTGTCTCGATCTTCAAGACTAATATTTTATCTGTTGGTTTTAGTTATCCCAATCAATTTATGTGCGAAAGTTATAATTCATCGCAATCTCGATACTGGTCACTTAAAGCATTTGCTTCATTAATGTAAGATATTAATGAAAGCTATTTCAAACTGGTCGCGAAGTGTAAAAATTGTAAACTGGTCTCACACTGAAAAAAAGTGCGCAAGCCAAAAGTGTAAACTGTCCCATTTCCAATTGTAAACTGTCTGTACTCTTTAATTCTATGTATATCCAGTGATATTTATATCATCATGTAGTATATAGGAGGCATTATAATCAAGTTTGAGAAAATTCTGAGAAAGTGAGAAATCACATTTGCAAGTTTTTGCACTCTTCTTAGAAAGCCATCTCTTAACCATTTTCCACCGATTGCACCTACACCATCTGGAGTACCAGTCATAATTACGGTCCCTTTCTCCAATGTGGTACCCTGACTTAAGAAAGCAATGATCTTTTGAATGCTAAATATGAGTTCATCAGTATTGGCTTCTTGCCGTTGCTCGCCATTAACTCTAGTTCTTAATTGAAGCCTATGTGGATCCTTAATAACTCTGGTAGAAACAAGAGCAGGTCCTAATGGAGCATAACTATCAAACCTCTTTGAGAAATTCCATTGTGGTATAAGACCAGCATAGTCCTTCTCATATTGCCAAGTACGGGCAGACACATCGTCTCCTGCTACATAACTCAAAGCATCTTCCTCTTTAATATCTACACCAGTTTTTCCTATGACAAGGCATAATTCCCCTTCATAATCACATTGATTATCATGAGCAACCTTAGGAATTGGAATAGCTTCATTGTGATCAGCGATACTGGTACGTGGCTTGTAAAAGACTGTAGGCCTTTTAGGCTCTGGATAGCCAGCGATGTGTTGCATGTAATTCAATCCAACACATTTGACAATTGGCACGTCTTGAGCAGTAAGGGGCCCTAACAATTACTTAACTGCTAATACTTCATCAGTCACCAAGGCATCGTCAAAGATGTCACCAACAACAACCTTAGCTTTAATGGTTCTACTTTCGCTGAATTGTTTTCCAACATCGTAATCGGATTCAGTGACTATTGGTTCACCACTGTAAATTTTGCCATCTTCAGCGACAAATCTTATTAACCTATTCCAGTTCGTCATTTATTTTTTTTGTTCAATATTTATTATTTTATAATTAATAAACCTAATCTTCAAATTAATTCAATGACTTTGAAATATTGGCGTATTATGTACTCTAAGCATAAGGGGGATGATTAAAAATGTAGATGGGGGATTTGTAAAGCTAAGTTATTATTTAGTATCAATGCGGCGGATGACAGCGCGGTACAAAGCACTCCACACGGACTCCAAAACAAAAAAAAAAAACACTCCGAAGCCTAGCGCTCCTAAAAAGAATTTAGTAAGTATTCCGAAGCAAAAGATTTGCCGCAACCTTCCCAATGTGAATAGTCCAAGAGTCATGCCAACGGGACCTCCGACGCCGAATCGGAGTGCCAGATGGATGCACGCACCTGCTAGCTATTTGGCATTGCGCATTCAAAGGCAGGCTTCTCATGGCTCCCTGGCATCGCGTTCGTCGGGATCGTCATCATCAGTATCATATTCCTTGGCATCGCAATGCAAAATCAGCCTCGCCTTATTTCGTTCTCTTTGGGTTGGTCACTTTTGCCCTCATTTCCAGAGACACGCCGGAACTTGCATTCCCACCAGCACCCCTGTCGAAGAACAACAGTGAGTTTGCATGGATCGCCATTTGGAAATTGAGAAGACCATAGAGCTCAATTTGTCTCAATAGCATCTAGTCCTCAGCATATCGATAGTTCATAGAATTCTTTAAATAGCGCTCTATTCATGCATTAATATCAATAAACAATTGAAGTAATTTCAATCAATATTATTTTGCTGAAAACGTTAGTGTACGTAACGTCAACGACTTGTGATTATATTTATATTTATTAATTTTCACATGATTTTAAAAATTTGTTTAAAATATGTTTATTCTCTATAAGTCATATTATCGAGAGCATCATTTGATACATACTCAAATATAGTCAGTTGTGTGAATCTTACTTCTATAATTGGTGTCCATTGTTTCACCATTTTTAGTGGGGGAGAAGATGACATAAAAGAATATTTCCAAATGTTCTCGATAGAAGGTGGAGTTGGTAGACAAGTATCGTATATAGCAATTAGATTCTTTAAGGCTATTGTTTTCGTCCGTAAGTTGAGATGGAGATGTATTAATATGCAAGATCTTTCGGTAGTTCCATGACGGGGATATCGTCAACAAGTCATGCAAGCGCATTTTATCAATTTTCGGAGGGGATGCATGATGAAAGCGATTAATTTCTTTGATAGAGATTTTCTCCTCATAATCAAACTAAACATACTGCCTCGAGGCAAGAAAGAAGAAATAATTCTCCCAACGTCCTAGTCTTGTATTAACGATGGGATGCTGAAGACAAATATAAAAACTCCTATCCCCATGCTATTGAACAACTCGATTATGTTTATATTAGTTGTTGTTTAATATGTCAAGCACTAATTATGATAAAAAAGATAAGAGCGAAATACTGATTTCACATATAGATCCTGCGATGGATGAGAACCACGAGCTTACGTTGGAAGATGTCACTCCAAAACTAACAAAATGGTGGTTTCAATATCCTCACCTATTGAAGCTAAACGTCTACTTAGGTTGTGCTGTGTTTGGTATGATTACCGTAGGTTATGATGGAAGTATGATGAGTAACTTACAAACTTTACCAAGTTGGGAAGGTTATTTTAACCACCCTTCAGGTGGTATATTAGGTACCTTAAGTAATGGCACTACTATTGGTAGTTTATGTGTTACCCCTTTTATTGTTATTGCTGGTGATCGTATAGGAAGAAGACACATGCTTATGATTGGAATTATTTTGACAATTATTGGGGCAGCAATACAAGCTGGAGCTGTAAATTTTGGAATGTTTCTTGCATCTCGTATTATAATAGGTCTTGGTTCTGGTGCAACTGGAATTGCGTCTGCCCCTATATTAGCGGAATGTGCTTTCCCATCCCAAAGACCAGCGATGACAAGTATGCTTCAAGCAAGTTTTCCAACAGGAGCATTTTTAGCAGCCCTTTTTACTTGGGGTCCATACATGTCAGACATGAAATATAATAATTGGTCGTGGAGGCTACCTTCATTATTGCAAGCAGTATTCCCGATAATTCAATTGATTTTGACCTTTCTTTGTCCAGAGTCACCTAGATGGCTTATAGCCCATGGTAAAGAAGACCAAGCATACGAAGTCTTAACCAAGTATCATGCTGGTGGTGATAGAAATAGTAGATTAGTGAAGTTTGAAATAGCAGAAATAAAAGCGGCGATTGCTAAGGAACAGATTGGTAAGAAATTTTCGTGGGGTATATGGTTCTCATCTAAAGCATACTTGCATAGGTTATTTCTTACCTTTGCAATGGCAACAATATTACAAATGTGTGGCTCTTCGCTTCTTTCTTACTACTTTTCGATCGTTTTGAAGCCATCGGGTATACAGAGCCGGTCCAAAAATTGAAAATTAACATTGGTTTGACTGTTTACGGGGGGGTTTGGGGAATTGTTTTTGCCATATATGCTGGAAGGATGAAACGTAGACTTTTGATAATAAGCGGCCTTTTGTTAATGTGTGCTACGTTTATTGTTTGGATCATATTGGCTTCTATAAATGAGAGAACCAATTTTCAGAATAAGGCATTAAGGAGAGGCATTGTCGCCATAATCTATTCATTTTATGGATTTTACCATGCGATATCTCCAATTGGTTTTACATACATGACGGAAGTTGTGCCTTATACCATGAGAAGTAAGGCCTCATTGATATACAGTATAACGAGTCAGGGATGGGTTTTATATAACAATTATGTCAACAACATTGCAATGGATGCTATTTCATGGAAGTATTATATTGTTTTTTGTGTGTGGGTGTTTATTCAAGCTTGCGTAGTTTATTTCTTCTTTCCAGAAACACAAGGATTGGGATTAGAAGAAGTGGCACAAATTTTTGGTGAAGATATTACTGATATAAAGATGGCAGGTGATAATGCTGTTTTAAATAATGAAATGAGCACCGTGGATGAATTTTCGCCACAAATATCAACCACTGAAAAGAAGAATAGTTCTGTTAATTTTGGTTCTTTTAGATTTAGTTGAATATGTCTATGTATGTAAGAAAAATAATTATAATAAAACTGACGATATTATCAACAGCACAAAGCTTATATCAAGAGGATATCTTATTATTGTTTCAAAGATCAAATTTTCAAAAATTAAACAAGTCGGTAGATAAAAGGACTACAGTTGTTAATACATTTCACGATATTCTAGACTTAGTCTCATTTCACCATTATGTTGTTCCATCTTCCTCCAAAACAGATACAGCAACATAGATGATAGAATTAGGGGTATACATCAACCCAATATATGGACACTGAAGATATAAGGAGGTCTGTAATATTCATAAGTTAGAACAACGTTCATAAAGGAAGATGAATTCAACGTTATTTCAGTGAGAAAAAAGCCGATTCTTTTAAACGATTTCTATTGTAACATGGATGGCATAACCGGCTTTTTGGCAAGCAATTCATTATAAAATTCCTCTGAGAATGAGAAGAGTAATAAAGCCTGTCCCAGAAAACCTAAAGATCAATACGGTTTGCTTATTTTTGAATGTCGCAAACGATTGCGCCTTATTTTGTTGAACCTTTGGAAGGCTATTTTGACAAGATTAATTTTGCAACCGGAGAACTCATATCCAGGCCAGAGAGAGAATCGTAGTTTATGACAGAAGCAGAACTTTATGTCAAATAAAATTGAACCATAGGCATTTGTTCCTAATTAATAAATGTATGAAGAAATTGATGATATTAGATTTCAATTAAAACAAAATATAATTTAATAATACGATTTAGGCCTTTCGTGTTCAAGCTTCAGAAATGATATGGCAAAATATTTTTTTTCTATCTTGCACAGGAAATCATTCAGGAATTGTCAAATGGTGAAGAATTGGACAAGATATATATGAAAGCTATTGGGACCTTGACACAACTTTTGGAAAGTGGAACCTCGACAGTGCGAAAAAAAATGGGCCATACAAAATTTCTAAATGTACATTTTAAGACTGGAACCATTCCTCCGATTTATGAATTAGAGCCTGTATTTTAGTATTTCAATAATGTAGAGTATATTCCATGAAAAATAGGTCTTTTCAAAAGCTTTTCCTCAAAGTAGAAATTTTAGTTTTTAATTTTCTTAGATTTTCGCAAAAAAAAACTGAGACATTATAGACTGAGAGAAATGTTTGGCAAATTTTAAAAATATAAGTTTTATTTTTCTTCCTTGAGAAACTCCAGGGAAAATGTTAGACAATGGATTCAGTCAAACAGTTTTGGTCGCAACATAAAAGCTACCACCAAACCTTTGCTAGCTTAACATTCGAATGAATGCGCTACTACGTTCCATAGAAAATATTGCACTTTCTAAAGTGATGTGGAGTGTAGCAATTTCTATATTACTGGAAGTATAATAATCTATAGTCATTTTTCTGTTTGGGCTTCTTTAAATGACCCTGAGAAAGCTTTGTGATCTCACATAAAAATATCGGAACCACAGAGGAAAAGCACAGCACACACCAGGAGTTCACTCACTATCTGGACAACTTCCGTTAGAATGCAGTCTCAACCCTCTTAGAGTCAGAAATCCTTAATTAATTTTAAGTCTTCAAAATTTGCCTCATCTTATAAAGTTTTATATTCACCAAATCTTTAAAACAATTTCGGAATATTGTTTACCCAATTTCGATCTACTTATCATATTAATGACCATGTTGCATTATTCTTAAGTCCAATAGCGGTCTTATCATTGATAGTCTGTAAAATAGTAGTTCCTATTACCCATATCAGACTAAAGTCTACAGATTATTTATGATATTTCTCAATCAAAGTACTCTTGGTATCATGCTCACTACTTATATAGCATTTCCGGTTGTATTAATGCTCTCCCAATAATTGCCAGTGCTGAATAAATGATTCGGTTTATAAAGTAGAGCAAGATATCTTGTTTCGAATTATGACCAATTACCTTCCCAGAATTAATAGTCATTAATGCACGGGAAGTATATATAAGAACAGGCATAGAAGCGACGTAATGTTTAACAACAAACGCATAATGCCTATAATTGTCTTTCAAGGGTTGGGATATATTCTCCTCATAAAATTTCTAAAGTATTAACAAATAGAGAAAGTAATAGTGTATTCTAATCTCACACTCACCAAATTCTGTGCTAGATGTTATTGAAAATGAATTTGGAAAACCAACATATTTAGCTTTCTAATGGCAACAAACTTGCCAATAACATTGAAATTTCTACATTTCTACTTCAAATAAACGTTCATTGAAAATGGGAATATGGATATTGCTTTCGAAGACATCAAACAAAGCTAACAAAATGGTGGCTTCAATATCCCCATCTTTTAGAATTAAATATATTCTTGGGGTGGGTACTTCAAGCAGTCAGGTACTTCAAGCAGTCAGTCAAAGGTATGATGGAGGCATAATGGAAGACTTAAAACCAGCGGAATTGGACAAGCTATTCCAACAATCCTCATGGGAGTAAAAGAAGTACGATGACAAACAGCCCGAAAATTGGTTCATTATGTGTGGCTCCCGGTATTGTATTAATTGATGTTATATTTTCAAGTCTTGTTCGAGGGGGGTGGGGTTATTCTTGCAATTATTAGAGTCTGGTGGTGCCGCAAATTTGAGAAATTTCTAGGGTTAAGAATGTAATTGGGGTGGCGATATCGCTCTAGCCTTTCCATTGCTGATACAAGTATCTTACTCAACTCATAGACCAGCAATTACGAGTTTTATGCAAGCAAGTTATGTATTAAGTCATTTCTAGCTAATAAATAGTTAACAGAGAAAGTGTGGAATGCTAGGGAGTTGAAAAATGAGAGTGAGAGTTGTAAGGCATTAGGCAAGCTCCAGGTGTGTCAATGCCTATATTGAGAATGAAAAACAAGCACAACAATTTTGTCGAATCTTTGGTAAAATAATACCTGGCAAATATCAAAAGATTCAAATGAATACGATAAAAAATAGCTTGTAGGTATACATTATCTTTGTGATGATTTTGAAGCAATATCTTCTATCGTTATTTGGGTACCAAAAGTTCCTGAACTCCCTTCATCAAATACTTCTTCACTAGAAGA